ACATTGTTTTCTGCATTGCCAAACAACAATTGCGTTCGGTTTCGTTTAAAGGAGCATTGTTTCCCTCACCATATATTTAAGGCAAGAAGGAAACGCGAAACGAATTACACATGTAAAACTCTGAATATGTGCATTTGCAGGAAACGCGCAATATTAAATAGCGACTAATTCAACCAGATTGGAATTATTAATAGAAGCAATTGGTTGCCTGATTTCTGATCTTTGAGAAATCGCTGAAATCAGTTGAACCATTGTTCTATTTTTAGCATAGTTTACATTTATCAGCACGACTCTGGAAGAATATCATATTTCATTTTTATAAACTGTTTTCATCGACCCGAGCAATTCATTCAAACGTTTGAGCAAGGCATGAAATTATCACTGGGATGAGCAATGTTTAGTTTTTGCAACATCTGGAAATTGAACTCTAGTTTTGTATGTGACAACACGATTTTTTTCCAGCACAGATGTTGTCAATGAGCAAGCAGCAACATTTTGAAAAAAGTCTAAATTTGGAATTTGCATTTCACGATGTCTGATCTCGAATTGTTTTCCCATTGAGAGCGCTCGACTAATCAAGATTCAAATCATCACGCTAGACGCCCCGCAACGCAAGCGAGATATTAAAAAAAACAGACGGAACGATTTTAGTATACAGCGCTCATTGATGAAAACCGATAAATAATGGCGAAGTGGTTTGAAAACATATGGCCGATTCCGATTTCGCAAGGGATAATTTAGCTACAATTTCTGATCGCTTAACCGCAGAGCGAGTGAAAAAGCAGGCAAATGGGTGACGGATTGGCCGTGCATCCATTTGCTTAGATCATGATAACACACTTTTTAAATTGGGAGGAAGAGGGGAGAGGGATGGTTTGAAAAATTGGCGGATATTCATCAAAATCTGGGTGATCCATCATGTTCACTTTAATAACATCGTTTGCCATGTAGAGTGCAAAACGATTATGGAAGAAGGTCACTGTAGGTTACCGTAGGACCAGTTGTTTTTATTGCGAGCGCACCTATGCACATATAAGGAAAGGTAAAAGGTAAATAAATAAGATCCTTCATATTACCCTCTTGTTTTGTCAGCTGCCCTCATAATTTATTCGACAGCTTCGAATCAAAACAACACAATCAGACTACCGTATGTAGCGCCAACCAAAGTACCAATTCAGCATTAATGGGCTTCCTATGCTTCATATAGAGTCATAAACATTTCAAACCTATTTCCGAAGTGTGGCTAGGCCAGCGAATAAATATATCAAAGCCGAATGTATAATAAATATCACCGGAAGCATATAAAACGGCTAATTAGGTTTTTGCAAAAATTTTTTTATGGTATTGTTAATGACCACAATATTTGACAGCGGCAAACTTTGATTTGATGTTTCGGCGGGGGAGCGGAAAATTTGAAAATAGAACGATTCGCCATAATCGGTCATTAACGTACCAGTCAATCTCATAACCGTCAGTTTTTATTGCACGCCGAATATCCGCGCGGTTGTGGCGGCGTCGGCGAAACAACAAACAGCGGCAGATTCTGATAAATTTGTTGAAACATATCCCATGGGATCTGGGCACTTACGACAATTACGCCTTTGTTTTCGTTGGGATTTGATGATCGTAAATGTTGCTGATGGCAACATCCATCCAACAAAATGGTTCCGTAGTTTTGACACGGAAAACGCTATATACCTTTCGAAATAACATGATTGTTGCGAAACCATAAAGAGATTTTTATCTAGTTGTAAAGCAAATATACAATTTAATTGGCTAATTGTTGCAATAGTTTCGCGCTGGTGGTTCTGATCCAGAAGACCGTAAACCGTGAAATAACAATTATAACAAATTGTTTGGTCAATCCGGGCGCGTGCACGTCGGCATGATTGTTTGAACCGCATTGGCAAAAACGTATCTGAAGAGAGTGGGATTCGAACCCACGCCCCCGAAGGGACTGGTGCCTTAAACCAGCGCCTTAGACCGCTCGGCCATCTCTCCGCATGCGATGCGCACGGGAAAACGGCGATGAAATGCTGCCGCGATCAAATTAACAGCCGGCGTGTGATAGCAGCAGCAATGAACCATGTTTTGGTTTGTGGTCAGTTCGAGAAAATGTTTATTGAGAAATGTTTCATAAAGAATACATGTATTGTTGAAAAATACGCACGTTTACGAGCACATAAACATATGTAGTTAGGATCGTAAATACGTATGTATTTCGTGCTGGCTTCGACAATTATGAAACATCAAATAAAGCTAGTCGGGTCCAAAATTATAAGATCAAAAGTATGAAGCAATTTTGAGTCATCTTAGCGGAATAATTTTTGCAAACTTTCCTTCGATGAGAATTTCGCTTCTTTTATTACATCAAAAATTTCAAGATTAAGATCAAAGTGCCAATTTTCCGACATGTGCTTAATAGTGGCACAGGTGTCCAAACCTTATTCCACTTTATCCCATTCTGCAATCTGAGTTGAGATTATGACGCAATCATCCCACCATACATGATTGTTCATTATTGCAAGGTGCATTCGACACATAAAAATACATAATAAATGTATTGTGAGAAAGAAGGGATCAAATTTTTAATATGCTTTGAAAATAATTGACTTCCCTGGAAAATTTCTATAGTGGGTTGTTTTTATCAAATCTAAGCGCCATACAAGGAATCGGTGGAAAAAGTGATTAATACCATCGCAAAAATTGTGCACCGTCGAAATTTCACTGCACTCATTTTTTTACAAATCTAATATACACAAAAATATATTTCAAAGACTCTACAAGGCCAAAGAGGAACGACAAAAATGGTTCTGAAGAGAGTGGGATTCGAACCCACGCCCCCGAAGGGACTGGTGCCTTAAACCAGCGCCTTAGACCGCTCGGCCATCTCTCCACACAAGCTCGCTCCATCAAGTCGCGGTTATATGTGTGCTAGAGTGGCCGTCTGTCTGTCTGCGTGCCTCAGCGCTTAGTTTCAATTTTTCACACCACGTATAATTAGAGGTAACATTTTTCTGTTCACCTCTCACTGTGAACAATGACGCAATGGGTCGTCTCCTGGAAAAAAAAACATCCCGACGTAAAGTGGACGCTCTTATTAGGTAATGTTTCGTGTCCGAAAAGAAGAAGAGCCATTGTTCGTCATGTATTACCCAATCTTACCGGGGCATGTTTGTTCATCGCATACTACTGGGTCAGACCACCCATTCATAAAAAATTAATTAATAATTTTATTCGTCAAGGGGGCCACCGTTTTTGTAAGCAATTAACTTTATTGGAGGTCGTTTTGCATGAAAAATTAGGTAATTTCGTTTATGTATGCTCATATGAAATTGATGGAAAATAATAACAGGTCCGGTTTATTCGCAAAGCTCACACTTCTTGTATATTACGTAACAATTCGAGGTAATTACGCCGAATACGCCTCAAATATCGATGAGCTGATGTTATCGGCATAAACATACAAATTGCAATTTTCATGCATACAACTTTTCCTACGAAAAACATGCACCCTGACTGAGTGACTTCGATGTCGTTTGGATGTGACTTTCCCGAATTCTCGGACCGAATGCAACAAGTTCTTTTTACAACTTAATAGTGCTATTAGGAACCGGCGCATTTTTGTCTAAACCACACCACTTCACTAAACTTACCAAAATTGACTAGTGAAGGGCGTTCATCACCGCTCTCATACCGTAACGCAACCTCAACTCCTTCCACCAAAGGTCATTTCTAGGGCAAGAGAATTTAATTACTATGCCCTCGGATATGTAATGGTTAACGCATTGTGGTACTTTTTTGTTGTTGTTGTTGTTGTTGTTATTTTGCTTTGAGTCAAGGGGGAGGGGGCATGTTGTTCTGGTTTAGGATACTCGGCTTATGGCACACCACAATAGTCATTTTCGGGTTCACATTATCAAGATTGATGGAGTACGATGGTCAGCGGCCTCTGCGCCTTGGCGCGTATTGAAACCTCGACACTGCCGCAATTGCTGCCTCGCCGCCGAATATTTTAGACATTCGAATCCGTGTTGTTTACCAGGGGCCACAGCACGCCAAATGGCTGTTTGGGGGATTTCAAACATTGCAATGTTCAATAGGAAGGAAGGGCGATGGCAACATGAAAAAAAAAGTAAAGTGAGAAAATGAAATGGGCGCGAAGGGCAAGTGAGATGTTGAATAACGGAAATCATCGGAGCACGCCTAATTAGCGGAACTTGTCCGCCCCTTATATACAACACGATGATCTTCAATTGCTTTTCAATTTAATATTCCAGACATCGCATCATTTTGATCGCGGATACTGTCTAATCTTTGATCGCCAATAAAATGCCCAAATATGACAATGATGGATTACATGGATGTCTGCAATTGCCGCGGAAACCATGACGACTGTTATTATGTATTATGAAATACACACATTCTAATTGAGATTGAAAAATTCTGCCTTGAAAAGATGAATTAAAAAACACACATACACAACAAAAACTGAGGGGATCCCAATGCTCATAATTCATACGTTACTCGAATAATATACGACGTCGTCATCACAAGGCACGCGAATTTCAAATTTATGCATTTGAGCTTTGAAATCTATTAACAAAGCATAAATTGAAATAAGAAAGTGCAAGAGCGGCGAATGATGTCGAGCGGTTTGGAATAAAGATAAAAATAGCGAAAAGTGCACAACTCAAGTCTTTTTCCGAGTTCGCAACCATCCTTTCTCAAAAAAAAAATGAAAGAAGTGGGTACGAAAAGAAAGAACAATTCTGAATTGTCTCATTCATAATGGAACCTACATAACCTAGAAAAAATGTTTAAATAGAATGCATTTTTTTATATTCAATTTTTCGTGCAATTTCAACACAATGTAGATATTTCATAATTTTTATTATCTTTCTGTTTCTCGTTATTACAATTTAGCTATTACAAAGAAATTTAACTATCTGTATTTTTCGAAATATTTTATATATAGTTTATTCCTGAATATGCTCAATTCAAGGCACATCCAAAACCATTTGGCAAGCATAGCTGCCCTTATTAATTTCCCTGAAATCGTAATTTAATTTGCAAAAATAATGCAAATTTACGAACTCGCGATCGTCGTACATATACTCGGTAGCTGAAACTTTAAAAAATGCCAACGCTCTACCACTACCATCAAATGCTGTATTCATGTTCGCTGTCGAATCATTGTATGGCAAGTCAATCCAATGCATCTGAAAATTTTATTGAAAACAATATTATTAATAAACATCGCTTACCGGCTCTTTCTCTACACATGTCATATTATGATAACAATGAACGTCACGTCTTGCACCGAGAAAAATTGCTTTTCTGATGCCTCTATAGGGTTTTGACAACGAATTTACATATTCTGAAGGACATGTTTCTCACTGTCTTTCTCCACCATCTTACTATTAAATGCTTCAATCTCTTCTTTTGTTTCGAATCCGGCTAGCACTTGATTCGATTTTTTGCAATTTTTTCTAGCGTTTTCCCAGTTTTGGATTTTCTCTATTACCTAAAAATGCAGCAGTTCGATTATTTTTTCCAGCAATTTTCAAAATACCGTAATACACTTTTTTGCTCCATTTGGCTTTAAAATGGACAATGCGCTGTCAGCGCATTTGTGTTTTTCAAATTTGTTCAATGTTGTAGTGATGATTTTCTTGGTGCATTTACTTTCTTGCCAATTTAGAATCAGAGTGAAATTATAATCAGTGGTATTGAATTGTAGACAATTTGGTTCGGTTGTGCAGTTGGTTTTTGTATTGGAAAATAGTTGAAAATAAGTATTCTAAAAGATTTTGAAACAAATTTGCTCAAATCTAAACCTACCGAAACATTCTGAAATACTGCTGCATAGCACACTTGATTTTGGCATTGCCTTTTAAGTTCGAAATAGAAATAATCGGATTGATAGGTTCCCAGCGAATATCTACTAGCCAAATAATCAAATTCTCCATCGTATCTGATTAAATGTGCGAAAAAATTTTGAAATAGCAGAGAAAAAAGAATACTCTTCATTCCTGAAGTGTTTCGGATTTTGAATGTTCGAAGTAAACTAATAAATTAAAAATTTTTTCCGGGGAACAAAGAAAACATAAAGCCCTAACATAAATCTTTGCGTTTTCACCGAGAATGAGAAAAAATAATTTAAAGAATTTTTTTTTCAATTCAAAACAAACTTGACAGTATTCCAATTCGAACAATTTGAGAAAATTCGAAAATAACTTCTGATGATTATTATAACAGCACGATAAAAATCTATAACAGCACGGTAAAAATCTCTCTGAATTTTAAGAAGAAGGCCTCCCATGATATGGGAAGACTCACTATCTCCACAAAAACAGCTGGCGGAGTTGTAATCATCTTGTGGTCCTCAAGCTAAAGACCGAAAAGCTTGAAATGCTTTGGTCCGCACCTCAACAAGCAAATGACAAACTAACTGAGTGACTATTCATAGACTATGTCCAGTTATTTAATCATACTTAGTTATTACCAATACACATTTTATATATTTTCTTCAACCTAACTTTTAAATACTCAAAAAAAAACACAGCATTTTGATTAATATTTCCGCATTAACAAATCGATAGACGTATTTGCATTCCAAGATCTTTGTCTGGTTGTTTTTGTTTGTCATGGAAATCTAATGAACTAGTAAACAAAGAAGTGACTTTTCCATTATATCGAGCGGCCATTTAATCCGTTCATTCGATTCTCAGATCCTATTACATTTCAATATCCATTCGCGCGCATTCATTAAGATTTCTTCAGTAATCGCTTCATTATTCAAACAGCATTTCACAATGTTGCTTTGTTCGCAACACCCAATTTCACAACTCATTTGCATTTTCGGCACACCGTTGAAAAACACATTATTGCGACGTTTTATGGACACTTCACACACAACGCACACATTGCAATTAAATATCGCCAAAAAAGGGATTTTTCTGAAACAGATTTTTGAAAATTGAAAATTGATTATATTTTACCAGTTGGGTTGCCGCATATTCAATTTTCAAAACAATCACATCAATTCGAATCAGCGAGCGCCAGTCGATTTGCGAGCTCTCAATCATTAGAGGGACATTTTTCTTGAATCCAGTGAGCACCTGACTTGTTCCAAGAATGCTCACTTTTGTCTAAAACCAAGTTACAATTAATTTTTAAAACGTGGAGAACAATTACCTCATCTGTAGTAGTAATCGAGTTCAATTGGATTTTATCATGTTTTGTATCCAACACCCAAGCATAAATAATAGTTTCATGTTGTAATTGCGCATTATAAATCGGCGAATGCTTTTTGTTAACAAGTCCTGAACGATATTTTGAAGTGTACCACACATTTGGAGCATTTGTGTCGTTTTGATAAATCCACGGTTTTGTCTCAAATAGTGCTTCTGAGTTGGCGTTGATAAATCTAAAAAAATTCATGACGTCAAAGATATATGAGAATTGTCAATTACGTTCCAACTTCCTGAAGTCTTGATTCAAATATGGATGGAATTCTTCCATGCATGTCTGGCCCAATATTCAACAACAGGTTCCCATTACATGCTACAGTTCGCGCCAGCTGCTCGATTATTTCAAACGAACTGTGGACATCTGCTGCCTTGAACAAAGAAAAATCCGTCAAATTTAAGTACACACTATTAACTACATATAATATATGTGATTTCAACCCACCCGCATTGTTCTTCGATTTCCCCAAGAAGCTTTATCCATTGTCATACAATTCTCCCACTTCCTTTTGAGCAAAGTTCCTGGATCATAATGATCAGCGTATGTCATAAATCCACCATGTTTTCCCATGGTTCCTGCTCCCCATCGGTCATTCACAACAACTCTGTTTCTCACTGGACTAAATAAATATTCATAATTATACATGCAAGTTGTTGGTGAAACAGAGATGGCGAGAGAAGGCATGTACCTAGAATTGTAGAGCCATGCAAGGAATTCCTTTGCTCTCCAATAGTCGTCGGACTTATCCCATTCACCATCACTCCAAATTATTTCCGGGTTGAATTCTCTCACAATTTCCATCATTTGGGGATATGAGATTAACTAAAAAAAAAGAAAAATCAACAAATAGAAATATTCGAATTTTTAGGGACTCCAAATTTAACATATTTAAAAATATCAAGTGAAACCTTCGGATATAAAGATGTGTTATATTTGCCGTCGTCCAGAAAAAGGGGATGAAACCATTCGAACTGTGAAAAGTACAATCCGAAGTGTACATCGGTATCCTTGAAAGCATTTTTCAGTTCGCCTTAATCAATCAAATTCCACTGAATTCTGCGACACCAGATACCAACCGACAATGTTTCTTTTAGGTCCGATATCAACAGAATTCCAGTTCCATGATGTTCTACTCGGCCACATTGTGAATCCTTCATGATGCTTGCTGGTGAACACAAAATAGCGCGCACCCGAATTTTTGACGACCTCCACAAATTCTTTCGGATCAAACAGTTCAGCGGTGAACTGAAAAAAAGAAACAATGCGCAAATTGAGAGATTGAATCCAATTAATTTTCACGTCTTTTGCAAAATCGGCATAAGTAGTTCCGGGTTTATAATTGTTACTGATGTACTTGTTGACGTCTTGATCAGGATTGTCTCCTTTCCAATACCACCACATCCATTCGGACCTGATTAAAAATAAACATTGGCCAACGAACTACTCCGAAATGCGTCGTTTTCATTGTCATTCACCGTATTTCCTAAAAATTTCCGCATTTTTTAAGGGGGGAGGAACCGTTCACTCTAATGACGCATATCAATCTTCGACTTCAATACGAGACGACATTCTTGATTTTATCAAACGCGCAGTGATTTTTGTCTGAACTGTTTCGTGTTCAACAACACACGCAAAAATCAACATTATGTGTGTGAAAGCTGGAGACAATAATATGAAACCTGTAGGCTGGAACTGAGTAGACACCCCAATGGCAGAAGATCCCAAATTTTGACTCGTCATACCACGAGGGAAGCGGACGATTATCCAGAGAATTCCAATCAGGCTTAACATTGAGATCAATGTTACACTGTCAGCTATCAAATCCTTACCGTATATTTAGTTGCTGAACATTTTATAATGGCCGAAATTGCAAGCAATAGCCAAAACCACATGGTTGGTGATGGCTCGTGCTGACTGTTTTGCTCTTATCGCAAATGCTATCTTGAATTAATGACCTCAAACAAACATTGATATCAACTATGGTCATCGTGTTTATTTGGCGGTGTATACTAAGTTGAATTCCAGAATGATTCACAACCAACTTGAACTTTTTCTTCCGGGTTACTGCTACGATACAATGATAAAAATAGTATGACCGTTGATTGAAGATACTTTCCAAAAAAATACGATTGAAACATTAAGGAAGTTGTCCGCACCTGAAATGGAATTCGGAACTAGATTTGCTGCAAAAAATGGATTAGAGAACTGTTCAGGAACGCGAGATCAATTGCAAAATACTAGTCCGAATGATCTTCCAATTTTGAGATGTTCAGAAAAAGCAGAGGTTGTGAAAATTGCTTGAAAGCATTAATTCAACGAACATACATTTTTTCTAAAAGTGTAGAAATTCTGTTTAAGAAGAACAGTTTGGCTTAAAATTGTTTCAAGAGGTTTAAATCGGTTGGATTTAATTTCAAAATATTTTTCACATTCCAAAAATCAGCATCCTTCAGGCAGATTTCCAATATGAGTCATAATTAATTATTTTCAGTATCAAAATTTTTATATCTCGTTTCTAGTATTTCTGCTTTGTTGAAAACCACAAACAATGGAAAAAAACGGCAGCAATTAATGATAAGGCAATCACGATGATGAGACACACATAGTTCCAGGAAGTAAGAAACCATCCAGATGTAGTAGGAGGCCAGTGCGTTTTTTTTCAGCATACGCTTTGCCACGGGACAACGCGCACTCTCCACATTTGCCATGATCATTAATTTGCCAAACTATGACCGTTCTGACTACTTTTGAATAAAAGCCTATCGAGAGAGTGAGAGGCGGCATGACGACGCGCGAATCCATGATTTTTTTCAGAAGGGTTGTGTAACGATTCAGTTACCACAGATACAGGAACGGTATATAAGGGAGCGGTTCGGCCATTCACGACATCATCCTTCTCCTTTCAGCTGTTCCTTTCTACTTAATAAAAAAAGGTACAGTATACTGTCTTCTTTAAGAGAAGATCACCGAATGACTGAGTAATCATATTGAGGTTTCAGGAATCATGACGGATAAGAAGTTCCAAACCGAGAAGGTGAAGAGATTCGCATTCTTCGGAATTGCAGTTTCGACTGTCTCGACTCTTACGGCTATTGTTGCCGTTCCAATGCTCTGTCTCTACCTTCAATCGGTCTCATCCTCCCTTCAGGATGAGGTCAACTTCTGTCGTGTCCGCGCCACATCCCTTGAGGGTGAGCTTGCCAAGCTTAATGTTGTGCGCGCTCCAAGAAAGGCCCGCTCTGCTGAGGGAACTTGCTGTTCTTGCGGTGTTGGACAGGCTGGACCACCAGGACCACCAGGATATGATGGAGAGCCAGGACAGGATGGAGGAAATGGACGTCCAGGAAATCCAGGAGAGGACGCCGATGGAGAGGACTACATGCCAGATCCAAGCCAGTTTTGCTTCGACTGCCCAGAAGCTCCAGCTGGACCACCAGGAACACCAGGACCAAACGGACCCGACGGAAACCCAGGACTTCCAGGACGCGACGGAGTTCCAGGACGCCCAGGAGCTCGTGGACCACCAGGACCACGTGGACCAGCCGGAAACCCAGGAGTCGACGGACCAGTCGGACCACCAGGACCACCAGGAGGCAGCACCGTTCAGCCATCGCCAGCCGGAAACCCAGGATCGCCAGGAGCCCCAGGAGCACCAGGACTTCCAGGAGCCGCTGGACGACCGGGACGCGACGGACAGCCAGGACAGCCAGGAGAACAAGGACCAAATGGACCAGACGGAGCCCCAGGAAAGCCAGGATCCGATGGAGTCCCAGGAGCCCCAGGAAACGCCGGAAGCCGCGGAGGTTGCGATCACTGCCCACCACCCAGAACCGCTCCAGGATATTAAATTCCATCCCTCACCAACTTTCTTCAATCTTTCCATTCTGTATCTTTGTAATCTTTCACTCGCTAGAATTCAATAAATGTCATTGAACACAGAAAAATAATTGCCGACAAACACTTTCAATTGATAACAGATAACGTCAAAAATCATCGAAACTGTCAAGTTGACGTCTCCTGAAATTAGCAAAAAAAAATGAAATACAGTTTGAGTGAAAGTAAAAGTTGATAATGAAAACCTGTTAGACATCAACATCTCGAAACCAATCAAGGCTATCGAAATGATTGCAAGAGCCATTCCAATGAACAAGTACATATTTTCGAGGAATTCCGCTTTCGTTCCAATCCATGACGGATGAAGAATCCAAAACTGCTTAACAACACCGCGCGGCAAATCTGAATGTTACACTGCCTAATCAGCATGTTGTGATAGCCGCAACGACAAACACTCACAATTGTTTTCGAAAAATAGGCGATATTTTCCAAGACGCAATCCATTGGGATGTGCCTTCTCATCTAGTCGCTTATAGATTTTTTTGTAATTATTATAGGCAACCATGTTCATCCAAATGATCAAAGAAGTATTGCGGTATCCGCCAAGTTCGCAAACGTGTTGTTTCCACGAATGCGGTTTCAATGTTCCTTTGAACTGAAATCAATTGAATGCGTTTTGAAGTGGCTTCAAGAGCAACCATTTCCGCTTCGCAGAGGTTTCGGCCATCTTTTGGAGCTGCATAAAGGCTTCTTTGTTTTTCCGATAGCAAACTATCATCCTCCCATATAATACTTGAAGATCCATGAAACAGTGTAAATGTATCTGGAATTAATGATAAAACTTGAACAATATTATCGTATCAATGCACCATTGAACATTTCGGATGCCAGTGATCCTATAGGAGCATATAATGGTCGTTTTGAGCAAAATCTATCAAGAATGATGTCTTCCAATTTATTGCTTGCATTTCCACATAGGTAGTGTCGATGTTTAAAGGAATTCTAGAAAATTGAAAACAAAACTTTTTTGTAATATTTCTCTTTTCATGATAACCTCCAAACAATGCTGCGATCCATCAATACGTGTTAATTGAGACATACAAAGGCCATTATTTAAAAATCGAAACGTCCTTTTCGTATTGCGAAGTTCGTAGTAGAAAAATACAGGATTCTTCAAATTGCAATTAATTACATAATGAAGACGAATTGTTCTTACCGGCATATCCTCGCGGATTTCAAAATCAATATAATCCGATGTGGAGTTGTCATACCGTATTACAATATGTTTAACTAAAATAAATATGCGCATAAGGGGTCATTATAAATAAAATGAGAAAACCTTGACGATTTGCGTGATTTATAATAGCAGAAATCCCACAAAACAAAAATGTGCAAAATACGGTTATTGAAATTGTCCATCTTGCGTTGACAATAGGATATGATCCTGGCAATCTTTGATTCAACAATTCATTCACTAAACATTCAACAGATTTGATCGAAAATCTTACAACAATGAAACTTACCAAAACTGCTCTTCTTAACTCTGTCCGAATCGTATTGGTATTCATCCACGTTACTTCGAAAAGAAACACCCATAGAAATAACAAATTTTATAAAAAATGGAAGCAGGGAATCGAATATGAATCACCATATTTGAAAACAATGTGAATACACAAATGTTAACAATCGAGTGAATATAATAATATTGTGTGGAATAGAATGAGGTAAAAAACGTACTAATGTTCTATTGAGTTGAAAATCAAATATTTAAATATTAAAAAAAAAAAAGAAAAAAATATTATTAATACAACATCCTATAAACTGTTCAAATTTACATCTTTAAGAACAATTTAATTATTTTCAATAAATTCTTTTATAATATTTAATCATTTCAAAAATTATCCCGATGAAAAAATGAATCTAATAATTGGTAATGTCGATGTTAGATGTAAATCGATAATTTGTGAAAATTTGAAAATTGGCGCGTAAATCAAAAAATTGCACATGTCTATTTCGCAATTTTTCTATTCACATAATTTATTTCTTCGAGAATTATAAAGAAATTCGATATTCTGTTTCACATTTTAATTTTTTTATGAATCTCTAGAAAACTTTGGTCCTAGTATAGAAACAATGCATTTATTTTATATTAATTTGAAACATTTCAAAATTCCAATTGACATGCCCTTTACTTTGACCATCCGGTTCATGGAGAAACTCGAATTACAAGTGTAAAGTTCAAGGTTTAATATTTCACCTGGTTCAACATAGTGCCCAAAAAAAATTTAGTTTGTTCCTCATGTTATTCTCTTTCTGTCTATTCTTGTTAATTTCGCAAAATTTTGCTGAATTTTTAAGAAATGAATCATTATATAGTAAGCGCAGTTCATTTTCAGTTTCATACAAGAATTTATAGCAAAATCTTACTATGATGCTCTTTCTGCCCAACTGAAACTGAAAAAGGATCTATTCGCGGATTATGATCCAAATGTAGCACAGATTCGAACCAAGCGTAAAATAATTAAAGTCATTTTTAGTCATTTTCTTCAATTTTAGATGGAACTGGCACAGTTCCAGAAACTGACCGATTCAATTACACTGTCTTTTTGTATTATTTGAAGTTGATTGAAGTTAAAGAACCTGAAGACAAAGTCACATTTGTTCTTGACATAATGGAGGTAAGTCGGGAAGAAGCGTACCTGTGCATAGTTATCTATGGTTGAATAGTATTGGTATGATGCTCGTCTGGTTTGGGATCCAAAGAATTACTCTGGTGTTGCTACGCTTTATGTTGCCCAGTCGGAAGTCTGGTCACCTGGATTACAAGCCTTTGGAATGTTTACATTCGTTTTCATTATTGTTTCAAGTGATTTTATTTTCAGACACGATATAGTCGATTTTCGAAATTCGGACTTTCGAACAATTTCTGTAGATTATACGGGTTACATTTGGGATTATTTATCTTTGAAAATATCGACAGTGTGCATTGTAGATGTAAAAAATTCAAAAATTCGACGATTCTCATTGTCGTTTTCAGATCGACTTGTTTCCATTTGACGTGCAAAAATGTCAAATTCGAATTGATCTACCCTCATTCTATAGTGACGAAATAAAAATCATAAATGAAGTGTACGAAGGGATAAGAACTTCGGATAAATTAGCAACAATGGGCAACTCCGAATGGATTATAAGAAATCTCACAAGTCGAATTGAAAAAATTATTTACAACGATTCATACGGAACAATGGATTTGGTAACTTTAGGCCAATTAAAAAATGCTCTGAAAATTTTTTTCAGGCAGTGTTTGAAGTTATAATGAGAAGAAATGCAATGTATTATTTCTACATGATCATTGCCCCTTCATTTACTATTAATTTATTGTCAGTTTTCGGAGTTTTCATGAAAAACACTGATTTAATGGCAAGAGTGCGTTTCTCGAATTTATGATTTCAGTAATTTTAATCTCTGGAATTCAGTTAACTGTCGGCCTCACCAATATAATGACAATGACATTTATTCTTGGAGTGATGGCTGACAAAATTCCCAAAACCAGCAGTATCCCTTTATTAGGTACTGTGAAATATCTATGAATATATTTAATATACTTTCTTCAGGAATTTATATCCTTATCAACTTGATTATTATGCTAATTGCTGTATGTGTAACTTGCAATATTGGATCTCAACGAAAATGGCTGAAATCGTTTCAAAAGCCATCTCCGCTAAGGTGAAAAATAATAAATAGAACAGCTGATTGTGGAATTGATTTCAGATCCTTTTTGGCGAATCATATTGAGTTTATTTATATTATATTTTTTGAAATTTTAAATTGTGTTGGCTTCATTGTAGTTATGTCATTTTGGGATAAAAAGTAGTCACTTTTGACCTTGAAATTCAAGCTCGGTATTCATATTTCCGACATTTTTGGGTATCGTGTTTTCGGGCATTCTATTTACTGAATGTTTTATAACGTGTTCTTCTTGGTGAGCTTGTCCAAAGCAGCTTTGTACGGTGAGAATTTGTAGATCAGAAACAATTTATTTACCCACAATAATTTGCAGATGAATCCTATTGCACTTATTTGGAAACGCAATATAATTTGAAGAAAACTTTGTTTGAGAATTATGACCCAACAATATCACCAGTTTTTACACTATGTAAGTACACACACAAAAGGTATTTAAAAATTTATGCATTTGGAAGGTGTTTTTATGCAATTGAAGGCAAATAAAAATACAGCTAAAAAGATCAGCTAAACTTTGAATTTTATGTAGAATTTCTTCAGCGTCTTATGGATATCAATTCAAATCTCCTCCGAGATTTAACTATACCACTTTTTTATATGACATAAAGCTCATTGATGTGAGTGAGCCGGAAGAAAAAGTTACATTCGTAATGGAACTCATGGAAGTAGGCTTCGAATCACTTTGTCTAAAATGATACATTGTCTAGGAATGGTTTGACCCGCGGCTTCTATGGAACCCAAGCGAATTTCAAGGGATCACAAGCATGTACGTCACAGAAACTAGAGTCTGGTCACCAGGACTACAAGCATTTTCAATGTATGACGTTTAAGCAAATATGTGATTTGTTTTCCACTTGAGAACTTGCAGACATGATATGACCGATTTCCGTGATAGTGATTTTCGTTTAGTCATGATCACAAATTTCGGAAGGATCTCGACCTATATGTCATTAAAGATTTCGACAACTTGTTCAATGGATGTAAAGAAACTTTAAAAAATATGAAATTATCTGAAAAAAATCTAAGATAGCCGAATTTCCGTTCGATGAGCAGATATGCCAAATAAGACTCTGCATACCACTATTCAATAGAGATGAAGTGCAGCTCATCAACGAAATTTATCAAGGAATTCTAAAGGCTAACAAAATTTCCAAAATGGGAAATGCTGAATGGGTCGTAAAGAATTTGTCAGGAAAAGTGGAAACGCTGGAATATGACGACGATTTTGGAAGTCTTGAATTGGTAATATAATCATGAATCTACATTAATTTCAGCATGTATTTTCAGTCGATATTCGAAGTTAGAATAAAACGGAATCCAATGTACTACATCTATATGATAATCATACCGTCGTTTATTATTAATTTTCTTTCCATTATTGGAGTTCTTATGAAAGGAGCCGATTTAATGTCAAGGGTAACTATTTATAAATTATACTATTTATACACTAGATTTCAGCTAACTGTGGGGCTTACAAATATTATGACAATGACATTCATAATGGGGGTCATTGCCGACCAGATCCCAAAAGCTGGAACAATTCCACTACTTGGAATTTATATTCTCGCAAATTTGGTTATTGTTTTGATTGCCACTGCAATAACAGCTTCAATGGTTAAAGTGAAGGAATTCATTCTGCTTCACGTAGTCGACAAAAAATCATTTTTGACGTAAGACGTATTACTCAACTCATCTATTTTCATATTTGGCATTTTCAGAAAGATTCTTCGAAAAACTATAAAAAATTTTGAAATAATCTTATCAATAATTTTCGAAATTGTCAATATAGTCAACTTTATTCTTATAATGATTTTCTGGAAGTCAAATTAATGTCAAATAATTTATTCAAAATATATAAATATATACAGACAGAAACAGTGTGAAATAAATCAATAAAATATCGAAACAAATAAATTATAACTTTGTCTCCCGTTCGATTCAAAATAAATATATAATTAAAAACTCCATACCAACAAACCGAAATGAAAAATTCAATAATTTAAGCAAAGACTGGAATCATTTCGTCAGACTGGAACAAATACTTGTTAAGGTCCTCGTTTTCAACTCCAGTGTCGTTTAAGGCAGAATCTGATCCCATTGAGCCTGAAGATCTTATGAAATGCAAATAAACATAAAATTTGGTATCTTTACTTATATCAATAAAATAGAGCTCATCATCAAATGGCGACTCTGTTGCTGCTTTTAGATCATGAAATTTGGAGTTGTTATCCTTGACGCATTTTCCCTTATCGTTCTTATTCTCAAAGTCCATTTTCAACTCATATCCCAATTGGCATTGACAAGTGACTGTCTTTTCGGAGCAATAGCTGTTTTCAACATCACATCTAAAGAAATAAAATGAAACGAGTGTGAACCATTTCAAGTATGAGCAATTTACCTCTTTTCTTCGATAAGCGTTTCCAAACAATAACCTCCAATGGTGCCATTCTTTCTCTCATCGACAGAGTCCATGAAAATCACAGTAGTCGGATCGTAGCACCTTCCGGCGATGTTTGAGAATCCTTCAGGGCAGCTAGCAATACACTTTCCTCCATGGACCAATGGTTTGGATGTTGGACAGATACAATAACCTTCCTCGCAAGTCGCATTGGCTTCGCGGCTGCTGCATTGATCATCAGTGATGCAACCCTTTTGACCGGCAAACAGAACTACAATAATCAAAATGATATTAGTCGAAGCTGATTAGTCACTCACTCTTCAAACACTTTCCTTCGAACATGAAGAAGCCTGGAGGGCACTCGACGGTTCCTGATGGTGAAGGTGTGGTCTGCTTGTTAACAGGTTTGTTAACCGCGAGCATGATAGAAACTGAAGAACAGCACTGGAATCGATTGTCGCGTTCAGCAAAGACGCATGAGAATCCATCAGGGCATGGCTGTTGAGAGCACTCTGTTATCTGCTGGTTAAATCCAATCAGCGGTCTTGATCCTAATGGGCATCCACTCTTTGATGACATGTCGTTGAATTGATTGCTCTTAAAATATAATATCATATAAATATCAATTTTTGAAAATCTTTGTACCTCTGGAATATTGATATTTCCACCGACAGCCATACCCGAAAATTGTTCGCGAATCTTCTTTTCCATTTCGGCTTGTGCTAATGCTGGCGGCAAAATATTTGTGGGATCAATTCCGGGAATTGGATCTGGAATTGCAACAGGCCCCATTCCTGGAGCCGGTGGTCCTCCTGGGAATGTTTGAGTCATTCCAGGGATATTGGAACGTGGTTTACCAAAGAGCTCGGCGGCAGTTTCAAATTCATCTAAAGAAAATAACGTTAAATTTGCTTATGAATTATCTCTCATTCTTTACCAATTTTCTTTGCTGGTGATGCATATCCACGATCTGGATGAACAACGTGAACAGCGGTATCAATTGGGGCACAACAATACGAATCTTGTTTCTCGGGCGAATAGATGCAGACATATGGAGCCGTAGTTGGGCATGGTGACAATTGCATATGGCATGTTGGTGGGAAGCCATCTCTAGAGATATATGGAATTTGACGTGGCGGGCAGTATCCTAAACAACATTGCGCCATTAATCCCAACTGAAATTTTTGAGAACATACCTCGGAAGCGATCGCTCAAATCACCATGAGTACAGCAAATGAATTGTGAAGATTGGTCAGATTCAAAGCAAGTATAACCAGCTGGGCAGTCAGCGCGCATTGGTGAACAATATTGTCTCTCATTGGTGACTGGATTGACGTAAGCCATTCCGCGCAAGCATTGTGGCTGCTTGTTAGCAGTTCCTTCGGAAGAGCAGCACAGATGATGTTGTGGATTGGTGGAAGGCATGCAGGAATATCCATCAGGGCATTTGTTACTTCCGGCTGGACAGGCTAGTGGTCTTCCTCCATATTCAAACACTGAAGATCCGGCTGGACAGCGGATGACTTTTGAGTTCCCACAGCACACAGCTTGTCCAGTTGAAGCAAACTCGCATTGGAAGCCAGATGGACATGTGTTCCTAACAAAGTTGCATTCTTGGAATTGATTGTTGCTTCCTCTATATGGAGTTTCTCCGTTGGCACAAACTGCTTGGTGTCGGTTTCCAGCCGAACCTTGATTAATGCCGCCAACAGGCCGGCTAGAAGGCTGTGGTGGTTTGTATTTCTGGCAGCAGATGGCAAGTTTCGCAACGCTTGAAGTCATGCATCGAGAGTCATCCGGACATCCATCGAGATCGACTTGGCATACTTGAACTTGGGTTTTGTCAAGAAACACCGGCACGTATCCTCGCTGACTGCATTTTGGCGGTGTCGTTCTACAGCAAGTTCCTTGTCGATAGCCGAGCTCGCGGAAGCACACATGATTGTTTGGGCAGTCACCAATAGAATTGACTGTGCATGTCTGGCCGTTGCTCAAGAGATTTGGCGGGCATGGAGAGATATTTGAGAGAAGTTCGGCAAATGAATCGGGCTCGTATGGTTTGCGGTTTCGCGGTTTTGCCGGAGCGATTGGTCTCTGTGGTCGCAATGATGATGCTTGATTTCTTGAACAGCACATATGGAATCCTGGGACGGAGCTAGACTCAACGCATTCAAAGTCTTCAGGACAATCGTCGCGTTCGCGGGAGCAAGCAACAACAGAGTTCGATCCTTAAGAAATGTCGATAATAATTATCTAGTCAAAAAGAAAGCTACGGTATACCTGGAATAAGATATGGGATACGACTATTCGGGCATGATGTGACCGCCTGGCAGCAGATTGGCTGATTAGTTGAAGATTTGACGCAAGAGGTGCCTGATGGACAAGTCTTTCCAACATTCAAGGTGCAAGTCTAAAAATCGCACCATTGAATTTCGCGCTATTAAAAATCAAGACAAACCTTGGGAACAATTTCACCTTCTTCAACAAACGGCGACATTCCTCTCGGACACATTCCATGGGTACTTGAATGAATGCACGTTTCAATGCATGCCGTTTTTGTGGTGAATCTGTTGGTGGTTCCGTCGCAACCATTGTAAACAAACTGCGCGCATCGCTTCTTATTCTTATCATAAAACCACATGCTTCGCTGTGTCGATCCCTTACAAGAGTTGCCTCGCGAAAGTTTTGCATTGCATGAGTTTTCGGGAAGTGGGCAACAATACGCGGCTTCATTGCACTCATATCCAGTCGGGCATGGATCATCATCACTGCATCGTTGCAGTTCATGATTGGGGTTCATCAAAGGCACATGCCCGTCGCAAACGTAATCAGCCGAGTGCAAGCAGAAGTTCTGGCATTGCTCGATTGTTTCGAAATTGTTACCATTTCCATTGCATCCATAATAATGGAACGGTTGGCATTTTCTAAGAGAATCAACGTTACGGAAAGCAAATTTTGGAAATCAATTACTGAGTTGATGGATTGAAATAATATCTCTGAATTGTCAGCGTTCTTCCAAAGCATGGCGTTCCCGCGGAAACCATATCATTGCATGTGAGTTCCGGAGTTGGGCAACAAATGGGGCTCGGTCCGAATAATGGCAACTGGCAGAAGTGTTGTTTAGGACAAGTGTCTGCGGAAGTCAACGCGCAGTTCGCGTTAACAGCTCCGACGCGATGAGCTTGACCATTGGGGCATTGAGTATCAACGCAGAATCCCTCGCATTCCTCCAACGAACCAAAATTATTGGCGTTTCCACCGCATTGCCTTAAAAAAACACTTGAAATTGAGCTTCCACTGCTCTCAATTTCTTACGTGAATTTCATTGATCTACACGTTGCCGTGGTGATGTCGAAATAGTAACGCGTAACGGGTTTGATGTTCGACGCGCATGGCACACCGACATTCTTCGTTAGCGAGCAAACTTTTTCTAAACGATTATAACGCTAGACATACATATATATATCGTTTGGGAATCTATTTACCTTTTGCTGGACAGCAGTATTGAATTCCACCATTGCTAACACATGAATGACCATCCGGACAAGGCGAGTTTTCGCTGCACTTCATTGGCCTATTGTCTAATGGTACACCGGCAGGACAAACACCTAGGCAAATAATGTTGAAAAAAGACGAAAATCTCGGATTCTAACTTCCGAACGGACAACACTTGCGATCGTTGCAGGTGAATCCATTTGGGCATGGCTTGATATCAGAGCATTGAATGTTCTCAAGTGGCGCTTCACCGCTTGGACACGAGCCCATGATACCGCCATCGGGATTCGAGCAACAGATGAATTGATTCAAATACTGGCTCTTACTGCAGACATATCCATTGCGGCATGCTCTGAATTGATATGATGAATTGCAAATAATGAACTTGAACACTTCAAACCGGCTATCATTTGGTGAGCATTCGACGTGGCTCATCGAGGTTCCTTTCAACTGTGGAGCTGAGTTGATAGGGCATCCCAAATCTCTAGCGCAACATCTATAACATCATAATTGCACTCTGTTTCATATTCTTTATTTTTTTAAACCTGGTTGTCGAACCGGAAACCAATGTGCAAGCAAATCCCGATGGGCATGAGTCGTCATCAGCGAGCACACATGATTTTGGCCTTCCGTTCGCAATCTGTAAACATAAGGAATCCAGTGTATTGAAAAAAGGAATAAAAAGAACATTGTTTGTCCATCACTCGCGTTAATCTTGGCCTGGAGGCCACACACGAAGTTCATGGACAAATAATCAAAATTTTGAAAGCATCATTACATCAACGTAAGTGACTCGGCCATCGCCGCAATTGATCTTGTCAGATGACTTGGCCGAAGGCGTCGGATTCTGGCAACAATAGCTCGATCCGGTTCTTTCATAATACTGGCAAGTGTAACCTGGAGATGTTTCGTTTATTTTTAAATGAACAACTGGGTAACGTACCATCTGGACAACTACTGATTGACGGGTTACAGGTGACCGGTGCGGAAAGAATTGTTAATGGGATGCCAGCTCCGCAAAGATCATCTGGAGCTTGATAGAAAGGCTGGGATAGGATGTCGTCGAGCGGGTCATCGGATTGCATGAGACTATCGCACTCGCCAGTCTCGGCGTTGAAAATTTTTCCGCTAACACATTTTCGCTTTGAAAATGATCTGCAATTTTCAGATAATCATTTATTCACAATGATTTGACAAACCCTTCCAAGTTACAATAAAGATAGGCTTCTGGACTTTCCGGATCCGGTTTTTTGACATTCGATGTTGGGTCGCATTCGAGACTCGCTTCCACTGTTAAAAATATCGTGAATAACTGAAAATGAGTGAATCTCACAATAACAATTTATTATAGTTTACAACATACACTGATTATATGTGTAGTTATAGACCACCGCATTTTCTGAAAGAAAAGAAATGTTCAAATGAGGAATATGATAAGAAATGAGGAAATTTGAAAACCGCCCCTCAGTGGCAAATGACGACGGGCTTGTGAGGGCTCAAGTAGAAAAGGCATGCCCTACGGCAACGAGAACGATAAACAAAACCGGACTATTGTACCCGCCGCCTCGGCTCCACCTCTTCCACCAACGGCTTGTCTCGCCGGTCACAGGCAAACATTGCCGGACGGAAAAGTCGCAGCGGGCGCTTGCTCGACGGCGAAGATTCAGCTTTTTAAGGCGGCAATGACGAGAGCGCGATCAAATTGGGCGCCAAAAATATCGCGAAGAACAATTAAAGATTAGAGCGAGATCAGTAGCGCGATCGCGCGCAGGAAAACAGGAAATCGGAAATTGAAGCGTCACATTTCGGGAAACGGATTAAAAAAAACAAAAGAATAGTTCAAATTGGAGAGACTAGATAGAAGCTTTAGGGGTTCAAGGTATTCGCAATATGTTATAATTTTAATTTACGAGGAAGTCATTAGTGTCAGAATCAGAAATTTTTGATAACCTAAGATATTCGCAAATGTGGAAATTTTTCCATAATCTCATTAAATTAGTTAATTCAATAAAAAATTTATCTTTCTTATATGGATTTAATATTTTTCGACTTTTATTGGAGATTAAAATTGGGTAATGAGATAATCATAAACTAGTTCAAAAATTACCAAGATCTCAATATTAAGTTATCAGTGAATTTCAAATTTGATGATAATTTGATACCAATTTTCTAGATGTTATTTAAATTTTAAAAAATTGTTTTATTGTTATTCATGCATATTTATTTGCTTCTGTATTGAGCACCAGAAAAACCGCCAAACAAGCAAATAGAAAACAGCTAATGCTGTTTGAATCTTTCTCGACAAACTGAACATGTTTATTTACAATTACAAACAGCCCACAGGAATATCGGCGCCTTAAAGGAACAACAACAACGAGTGTCTCGAAAGGTCATTGTCTTCTAAAGTGCTGTAAAAAATGTGCAATATGTTGTCAAGTGGTTCCAACGATTTGTTGTCAATCCCGTCGTTTCTCTCTAGTTGACTCATTAGGAAATGCGAGAGCTAGAAAAAAATTTTGGTGGAGAACATGCGCGATGTAAACAAATTAATCATCATCGTTGACGGTCCGGTAGGTCGAATTTGGACTAGTTTCCACTCAGACAGCAATCAAATGTGCATTAGTCTTACGTATTGAGCATGCGCGACACTTGAAAATACAATAAGTCAGAGAATCCGCGTGGTCTTGAAATCACGTCATTATTAAATGACTGATACCTGCTAATGAGTCACACTTTGTCGAAAACCTGACGGCAGAATAGTAGGTGAAGAAAAATGAGAAACATTAAAATAGTTTTTTTTTGATTTGAAAATATATTTTTTAAAACAAAACCATCGAAAATATATTTATATATATGTATATATTTTTTTTTTGAAGCGAAAGAAATTTGTACCAATTTTCAGAGTTATACAAAATTTCCAAAAAGTGGAACTTATGAAGAACTTTGAGAAGAAATTATCAAACTAGAGAAAACTTGTTAAAATCCATTAATATAGTTCGATACGTTCTTCTCAAAATTCTTCCTAAATTCTACTTTTTTAACCAATCAAATTGAAAAAGAATTTGATTGCCTTCTCAAAATGGTTTCACTACAATTTTTCAATTTTATTTAATTGTTGTTACTCTTTATAGTTTATCAAGAATGATAACAAGGTTGTTCATCATTTGAAAAATTTCCAGAGTACGACAAGATCGCGCAAACCGCCGAAAACATGAAACGGAAGAAGGAAGGCATCTCGTGATTTTGAGATGGTAAAAAACTTCCTGCTATAACTAATCCGCTATAGTTTAATTAATGGGTGGTGTTCTTTAGGTATTCTATCACGAAATTACCACAATTTCCGAAAGTTATGCGGTTAAAACATTTTTTTAAACTTTGTTACATTCGTCTCAAAAGTCTCGCGAAATTCTCAAAACCACACACACACACAAACACACGCACACGCGACATGCACCCCTCGTCCAATTCTTATATCGAATATGCCCGCTGCGCTTTCGGCCTGCTTAGTATAGTGGTTAGTACTCCACGTTGTGGCCGTGGCGACGCTGGTTCGATTCCAGCAGCAGGCATTTCTCTTTTGCTTTTATTTTATTCAATAATTACCTTTTATCAAAACCAATTAGCAAGGGTTTGTAATCAGGAGTAATCGTATTTCACCCAAAATAAATGCGTTAAATGCAATCAGAGATGTTAATTAGTTTACTTTACAAAAACATTTCCGAATTCGATTCTATTGAATGTTTCCAGGAAAAAGCATAAAATTAACCAAAACTAACGCATAACCTCAAAAATAATATATAATAAAAAACAAACCTGTTCAGAATCAAAATTCCAAACACTTATTAGATTACTGTAGGAAATGGTAACCAAAATCATATTGTATTCCATATCTAGTTTTCATTCCTTATTAATGTTTTAAATATAATTTTTTTTTCATATTAGTTATTCCAATTAATTAGCAAAAATTTATAAGGAATTATTCATCGTATAATATCAAAAATGAAGATCAACGATTTTCTCACGCGATAATAAATTTATTAGATAAATCAACGCCAGTTTTTCATTCAAAATATGCTTTTTTTGAAATAATAAATACGTCGCTATTTTTGTTATGGATTTTATCTTTTCCATGCTGCTTTTTGCGTTCAAGCAACATTAACGTTTCCGTTCTTTTTTTTAAAGATTTTATTTAAAAGAATGTTTCTCTTAACGTTTTTTTTACAATTCCATCAATCATGATTATCCACCTTTTAAATGGACAGCAAACCTTGATTCGATTTTTATTCCTGCGCGGTTCAAATCGCATTTTTATTCAACTTAAAACGCTGGCAAAAATCAAGTTTTTTTTTAGGTGTGGTCGTTAATCTCGATATCTGCCATGATGCCTAACAAGGCCGAATTCTACTCATACTACCTTGACTAAAAAAACCACTGGCGCCTTCGCCAAGAAAAAAAATGAAGGCTTATCTGAACACCAAATCAAATCCAAATGCCTAGGAACGATGAATACGGAAATTGAAAATCCAAACACTTTAATTTTGCTAATCACATTTGCCCCCCTACCCCATCTTTATGGTAATAAATATAAAAGCCTATCATCGCCTATAACTGCCAATAGGCTGTCAAATTTCTGATGAGCGGGGGGCGGCTAACTGATCGCGTAACACGCCAATTCGTCGGCTTATCTGTGTATCCCACGGCATTCGAGTCAACCAGGTGAAGTGCGCCTTGCTGGGAGGTTTCTCGTTTTATTTCTTGTTAACGATGCCCAAACAATGGTTCCTGTTTTAAGCAACCCCCCTTCATATCGTTTTTTTCTCAAGTCCCTCGCGCTCATCCCTCGCTTCGCTTCATACTCCTCATCAAGCCCTCCGCGCCGCAATATCCTGATGCATCTTTCCACTTTTGGTCAGGCTCATATCTTCATTACGCAACCATCGGCGGCGATACAATGGAAAGACACATGTACGAACAGGAAGATTGCCCTCGTAGCAAAATCCTTAATCATTTGTTTGTTCACGCTTTTGGTCGACGGTTTTTTTGGTGTCTGAAGGCACTTGCGCAATTTGCCATAACTAAACTTTGATATGCCGCCTTTCACTTTGACTATAGGTTTGGCATCTTGTTATGCTTGTTCCTAATTCTACACATCCCAAGCTATCGAAAGAAGGCCTGATGATTAATACATATTACAACACTTTCACCTCACTTCTTATTAGGTGTTGATTCATTTCTTTTTTTTGGCATTATCAATTCTGAAAATATCCAGGTAGACAGTTTGGATTTTGATAAGATTGCCAAACCCGTTTCGAAATGATAAAGAAATCTTTCATCTCCGGTGATTTTCTCTTAAAATCGAATTGTTGTTTATTTGCCTATTCGCTTTACATATGTATATTAGCAATTTACTCTTCAACCAATTGAAAGTAGTATGTTTGTCCCAATTCGTGCTTTGCGTTGTGTCGTCTTGTTCCCATACCTCATGTAGTCTTGATTTATTATATATTTCTCTCTAATAAGCAAAAGCACCTCATTGTTTAGGGAAAACGTGTTGGTCAGACAAGTCTAATGTTGCTTTTGGTGGCGGTGAGTATATTGTTCTCTCTGGTAGAAGGTAATAATTGTTTGAATTCACTGTCATTTACATATCAATTTTAAAGGTTTTGGAGCTCCTGGAATCATTCCTCCCGAGTCATTTATTGCTGAAAGATGGTACCCATCAAATTTGCCGACCGTTATGCCACCATGGAAAATGCCAGGCGTGGATATTGAGAACTTCCGTACAGCGAGACCCCATAATCCTCCAGGATCGGTAACCTCTACTACAACATTACCAAGCCCCACCGGATCATTGCCGATGCCGCCTGGAACGTCTCCAGATAAGCCCGAGAGTACTGGACCTCATCCACCCGGCACGCCCCCCTCTCCTCCAACTGAAGTCGAGAACACTACAGAATCATCGGGTTCGATGACTCTCACTGTTACAATGACCAATAGCGAACCTCCAACATTGATAAATGATTCGGATTTTGGCTCATTGACAATTTTGTCTCCTGACTTTGAAGACATTACCAAGGTTGACAATTCGACACAACCTGACGATTTGATGGATCTTCAAATGAATTTGCACGAAAGCCTGAATAGCCATATCGAGGGAAGTGCTGAGGAGGAAATCAATCAAGAAGTGACAAGTATGACCACTGCCACATCGGAAACCACTACGGTGACCACAACGACGACTGAAGAAACAACGACTACTGAATCAACTACTACAAGTACGACAACGACAACTACAACTGAGCCAACTACTACGACGACTACAACTGAGCCAACTACTACGACGACTACAACTGAGCCAACTACTACGACGACTACAACTGAGCCAACTACTACGACGACTACAGAAAGTTCTACGACAGAGTTAACTACTACTACAACTGAACCAACAACTACTGTGGTTATCAAGCCTGCTCAGTTATTGCATTCAGCCGAGTTACTTGAAGCTACCTCCATTGAAACTACTAAAATTGCAGAGAAAGGTTGTCTTTATTTTGTAGAATTTTGAAGATTTTCTAATTTCAGAATGCAAAGACATTTTATTCCTTCTTGATTCCAGTGGTAATGTCGAACAGCAGTATGAGAAGCAGAAGCGTTACATCGAGAGGATTGTTGATCAACTTGAAGACAACAATAAACGACGCGTTCGTAACTTTTTTCTATTCATTCATAAAACCAAATTGTTGTTAAACTTTTCATTAGTCGAGTGTTGTTGTTGGCTTTTTTTTCAGTTGGCGCTAATCACATTTTCCGGACGATCACGACAGCGAATTGTAGTGCCGCTGTCAAACGAACCAAACGCGCCCAAATTTATTGCAAAACTTAAAAGTTGGTGTTACAATGATGACAGTTAACGGGTTGGAATTTGATTTTTCAGGGGCGAGATTCCTTCGTGGAATCACCGCCACCGGTTCGGCGATCTCCGCAACAACGCAATACATTCTGCAAAAGGGCAGAAATGTGCAGGTAGAAAAATTCCAGAACAATCCCAATAGCCAAATATTATTCAAGGTTGTTGTGGTCACTGATGGTTTCTCATTTGACGATGTACAACAACAAGCGGAAGCATTGAGGTCGATTGATGGTGTTGAAGTATATGTCACTGGCCAGTACTTCCCAATCGTAAAGTAATATATTATTATTTTCCATTAATTCTACACATTTCAATTTAGAAACGTGCTGGTTTCAATTGCTGGTTCAGATAGACGCATCTTTTTCAACAGTAGAGAATCAAAGCTAATAGATGCTTTGAAATGTTAGAATGTCGTTTACTGTTCGTTTTTTTTTTGACTAATTAACTTTGATCTCAATTATCTAACTTTAAAATCAACTCGAATAAATATTATATTTATATGTATATTATGTTGGTTTTTATTGATTGTCTTCTTTTTTCTCCGGCGAGGCAATAAAAGAAAATAATGTGGCTGGAGGGGAAAACGGCAGAGAATGGAAAAAGCGAGAACGCACGACATGTTGCTCCAAAAACACGCCTTACCCCATCTAACACTGACACATTTCGTATTCGCACAAATTTTTTTCCAACGTTTTCGTCAGGATGGCAGAAACCTCGCGAGCGCATTTATCAATTTTTTTTTCACGCTATCTCTTTTCTTCTGTTGCATTCTGTATATCCAATGTTATCTCTTATCAAAAATGAAATGAATATACATCAATAGGCGGGCATTTTTTTGTTGGTATTAGTGTGTCTCATTTGAAGAATAATCCCCCCACCCCAGTCCCCAACATGAGTGCCAAATATCATAAAAAAATTTCACTGAAATTTCGTTTCAAAATCCGGTTTTTGTTTGTTTTCGAAACGTGACACATTCAATGGGTTATTCGACAAAAAAAGGTATTCAAATTACATATAATAAAATCTAGTGACGTTGTGACCTTGATTTGATAACGATTGATAAAATGTTTAGCATGTGGTCCTCAGAGCGATGTTCTACATGTATCTGTTTACATCATTTTCCTCTCCCTCTGCGTGTTTGCCTCTTATTACGCTTATCTCGTATTGATTACACAATAATTATAGGTCATTCCGCGTGTTTTTGACGCGGCGAGCCGTTATTTCCAACATATTGTAATTATATTTGTTCGATGTTCCTTGTCAACTGGTAAAATCGATAAGGAGGTAGTCACTTCCAGCGAGCCATACTTCTTGAGAAGGTTTGGTTTCAATTTTTTCTCTCTCTCTCTCTCTCTCTAGAAAAAATATTTTTGTAGAATGACCATAGCGGAAAATTCGACGCAATCGGTTGACGAGTTTAAAACATGTTTGTATGATGTGAGTGTGATGTTTCGGGAAATTTCGACGAAAAAAAAACAACAACAACAATGACATAAATTTTAGATGCAAAATGTCCGCAAACAATTGACCAAGTTGATTTTATCCGCGCAGGATGTTGACCAAAAGTATTTCGAGGTAATTGAGCGCACACTTTATGAGCTATGCGATAGTCGAACGAATGGTGAAATTCGAAAAATCGCTTCTCACGGCTCAACGTTCTCAATCAACATTCAAGACGAGATTCGTGGACTCAAGGTGATTTTTGTTTTGTTAGTATTCCACACGTTTTAAAGGCAATTTTAGAAAGACGATGAATTCCTCAAGAAATATTTGCAAGTCGAAGATCATCGCTGGGAATTGATCGATGTTCCCGAGATTCTATCGCGCTATTTTGCACGTGGTGTCGAAGAATTCTACAATGAGATGGAGATGTGCGAAAAGTAAGCATTTTGCTCGAATTATTTTTGGTCTCGACCCAACGCAATTGATTTGATTGATGGATTTATAGTTTAATGCAATTTCCGGGGAATGAACAACATAAGGTGCACACAAATAGTGTCTGGCAATATTGAAAAGATTACGATTTTGATACGAAAAAAAAAAATGTTTCGAGACCTTTTTTCTATATAAGAAAACTTGTTTAATTTAAAATTTTGAACACCGAGAAAAGAAATAGTGACAAACTGATATTGTTGAAGAAATTCGGCGAAAGCACATTAACAATTTAAAAACCTGTTTGATGTTGTGACATCAAGTTGAGAGAAATTACAACAGCCGACTAAAACATAAAAAAAATATTTATTAAGCAATATTGTAGGTTCTTGCGCAAGCTCATTGAAACCGAATCGACCGATGGTGTTCTTCCATTGTTCATCACTGATTGGGATGGAACCATGAAGGATTATTGCTCGCAATACGCCACTAATGTTCAGGTACAAATGATGGAATGAATCAATGTGGGAAACAATTTGCAAAATGATATTCAGCCCGTCTATAGTGCGGTAGCAATGGGACACTTTGCGCGCCAGTTCACTCGCGCTTTTGCCGTTTTGACAGCCGGACCACTTCGCCGTCCAGGAATTCTCGACTTGACCGCACTTCCCATTGATGGACCAGTTCTATTCAGGTTGGTGTTAATGTTATCATCATCATTTTTGGACCAACCATGATATTGAAGTGGCTCTTGGGGACGCGAATGGTGGCTTCGCGGTAAGCGTGTCGTTCATGAAGACGGAATTCCCGAAGAAGGAAGCGTTGCGATTGGGCAGTTGTACGAGCAAATGGATGAAGTCATCCATGAAGGTGATTTTGTCCAATTCGCGCTAGTTGGAAGCGGAATTCAGAAGAAGGTTTCAATATCGTGTTTCAGCTATCATATATATATTGTTTAGGTCGATCGCCTCACATTGGGCGTCCAAACAGTCTTCGGTCAAGTGCCACGTGATTTGTCGTCGCGATACATTGAGGCGGTCAAGGAGCGCATTCATCGGGTCGATCCGAGCAACCAGTTTCTGGTTCTCGAAAACTGTTCGCCATTAGAAATCGAGGTGTGCGTGCACTCATCGGGAACGGTTTGGAACAAGGGTGATGGTGTTAGCTCATTGGTTGAATCGCTTGGCGATTCACTGAAGAATGGCAAGGTGTGTGTTGCTGGCGACACACCAAGCGATTTGCCGATGCTCAAGAGAGCAATGGACGAAAATCCCGAGGTAGAATAATCAGCAAAATGAATGAAAAAAAATTTTCAATTAATTTCAGAATACCTTCGCACTTTTTGTTGATGCCAGGGAAAATTTAAAATCGATGGTCGCTCAAATTGTACCTGATGAAAGCCGCGTTTGTTTTGTGTCGAACCCCGATGTTATTCACGCAGCGTTTGCCAAGATCATTAAAGAAGCCGCGCAACAATAATCGGAATGCCTTTTTCCTTTCATTCATTCTTCAAAATTGAAAAATTCAAATTTTTATTTGTCTCTCCATTTTCATAGTTCGTTTTTTAATTGATTGTGAATAATTATTTATGAGAAGCTGGTATATTCTCGTTTTGTACTATTATTATCATTATTATTTTTTCGTGAGGTTTATATGTTCCGATTATAGACACTTGGTTCGAAGGGCAACGTGGCGAGGTGAAAAAGTTGTTCGATGGTGTGTTGTGTTATCGCCAAACCTGTCTATCGATCACAATGCGCTGTCTGCGTGCGTGTTTTTTCCCTTTTCCATGTTCTAATCGAATTCTTGCAAAACACATGTGCTATATGCAGTTGATAGATATATTATTTGTGATTTCTTTTTTTTTTCCGTTTCGGACTAGTCCACATTTCATCGAATTAAGTAAACTATTGTGTTCGTGTAGATCAAATTTCATAAGTACCTAGCCGGGTTTCAATTTTTTTTAGTGAAATGAATAAAGTTTTCCGCATATTTTTTATAACGAGTTTTTCTTTGATTCTGTCTGTTTTCGACATCTTAATATTCGAATTTTGGTTTATATTTTGCTTAAAATTCGTTTCAGAGGGAGGCATGAACCGATCCCGCGTATTTCTTCGCTTGTTTTCCAACTTTCAACGTCAGCAATATTCAAGTGGAAAAGCACAGTTCAAGTCTAAAGATGGAAATTATAGTGGGAAATCTTACAATTTGAAAAAATAATTAAAGAGTTTTCAGTGAAATTCGCATTTATTGGAACCGCAGCAGCGAGCACAATTGGCCTTTTAGGAGCTAGAATTATTAAAGCAGATTTTTCGGGAGATGAATTGAAGGTCAAAGATTTGGAGAAGCTGCCGCTGTATAGTTTAGATGAGGTTAAAAAGCATGGAAAGAGCGCCGAGAGGATTTGGGTTACATATAAAGATGTAAGTATTTTATTTGAAACCGGAAAAGTGTTTTGCTGAAGAGATTAAAGCACATTGAATGTACATTTAATTCGATGCAAAAATATTTTCAGAAAAGAAATGCCTCGTATTTTTAATTGATTAAAAACGTATAATCATTTTTTTTAATAATCTTCAGGGAGTCTACGATGTGACTGATTTTGTTTCAATGCATCCGGGAGGAAATAAGATTCTCCTCGCCGCTGGTGCTTCAGTCGATCCATATTGGGCCCTTTATTCGCAACACAAAACTGCCGAAGTATTTTGTCTTCTCCATTGTTTTCTCATCAATTTTGTTATTAAGGTTCTCGAAATTCTCGAACAATACCGAATCGGGCGATTAGATGCGAAAGATGTTCCTAAAGTAGGTATTTGATTTTAGATGAAATGTACGGTAATTTTTTTTTGAAAAAAAACCGGTTTAAGGTCGTTCCATTTTTTGATGAAGTGAGATTTACATGTGAAAAATACATATTCCATATTTTCCCGATGTCTGACCTCTGTATTTTCAGCAAGAAGTGGATGCTTTCTCCAACGACCCTGTCCGTCATCCAGCGCTTCTTGTTCGAAATGCAAAACCCTTCAATGCTGAATCCCCTCCTTCGTTGCTCACTGATCATTTTTATACACCAAATGATTTGTTCTTTGTGCGAAATCATCTTCCTGTCCCAGTTGTAAATATTTTCAATTGTGTCTTAATGCCCAATCATTTTTCACATTTAAGATTGATGTGGAGAAGCATGAGCTTGAAGTTGAAGCGTTCGATGGCAAAATCGTCAAGCTAAACATGGAAGAGATCAGGAAAAAGTATAAGGCGTACACAATTGGTTCAGTGGTTCAATGCGCTGGAAATCGAAGGGCTGATATGAATTCGTAATCAATTTTCACAAGATTGCTGGGAAATGATCCATTTTCAATATTTGTAGGTTCAAGAAAGTGCAAGGTTTAATGTGGGAAGGTACTGCAATTAGTAATGCTGAATGGACTGGACCTCGGTTGAGGGTAAGAATTTAGAATCGTTTTGAAAACAATATTTCTTTGCTTAGGATATCCTCATCGATGCTGGAATCGATATTAATGATCCAAAATTGAAGCACGTACATTTTGAAGGAGCCGATGTCGACCCTACTGGAACTCCATACGGTGCTTCGATTCCGTTTGAAAAAGCAATCCGCGATGAAGTGATTGTGGCGTATAAGATGAATGGCGAGGATATTCCACGTGATCACGGAGCGCCATTGCGTGTTGTTGTGCCAGGTACAATTTTTAATAATAATTGTGTACCAGGCGTAATAGCAATAGTGATAATAATATGTTTCAGGCAATGTTGGAGCTCGCCAAGTGAAATGGCTCAAAAAGGTTATTGTGAGCGATGTGGAAAGCAGCAGTCATTGGCAGCAGAAAGATTATAGGTTCGAGAAGCTGTACTAGAAGAAAAAAATATTTCTAATCTATGTAGGGCATTTTCGCCGGCAGTTCAACTAGGAGACGAATTGAAGTGGGATAGAGTTCCGTCTATTCAAGAATACCCAGTACAATGCGCAATTTGCGTCCCTGAACCGAACACTAAAGTTGACAGAGGTGATCATTCAAGTTATTCGCGTTCATTAAATGCGAATCTTTTGAAGATGATGGAACTGTGTCGGTGAGCGGCTATGCTTGGAGTGGTGGAGGTCGTGGAATCATCCGAATCGAAATCAGTGTTGACGGCGGACAATCGTGGAAAAGTGTTGAAATGGAGCAGGAAAAGAATCAGGATTTGGAGCACATGTATGCTTGGACTTTGTTCCACACTGAAGTTGAAATTCCAAAAGACGTCGAGAAGTTTGAAATTATTGTTAAAGCGGTTGACAGGTAAAATACTTTTTTCAATAGAGCTAATTTTAATATCCAAATCATTGAATTTCAGAGCGTATAATACACAACCTGAAACGGCCGCTGGAATCTGGAATGTTCGTGGATTGATTCACAATGCTTGGCACAAGGTTCCAATAATTGTAAATTGAAATTTTAATTTATGTATCTGCCCGTCTTAGCCCACAATTTTATTTATATATATTAGATAGCTGTGATATAAATTGAAATGAATAGTCAACATTTATTTTGTTTTCTTAATTCATCAATTACTCATTCAAATCAGAAATCGATGGGCATTCATTACGATCTCTCTCCTTCAAGATTGGTCCGGTAACACGAGTTGGCATTGGAAGACTCTTCCACTGAAATTATCGATGAATATGCGATATTGATTAAATTCCTACGTTTGCCAAGATGGAAATTGGAGTCATGGCATTTTGAGGGAAAGGAAGAAGTGATCCGTCGCCACGCAAGCAGTCAATATTCAAATCTCCCTTATGATAAAGAGAATGAAGCTCGAGAAGTTTCGGTTTTGTCCATTCGCCGATTCTGTCAAACATTTCCTGAACTGGCATGAGTTTGTCGCTAACTCCATATCTTGAAACATTCCAAATCATATTTGGCGCAATTTTTAAGCGCCCACCTGCTGCGGAAATACTGACGAAGTGTGGAATTTGAAACCGCCGATTTGCATACTTCAACTTCGCTCGCCGGGTAATAATAAACGTAATTGACGCACATTTCGTCGCGAATTCCATATCCACCAAAGGTCGTCGTCGTCCTATTACGACTGTCATAAACACACACCGTCGTTAACATGTCTCCCTATAATTGGCATTTCTCGAAAGCGATGCTAATTAGGCTTACAGGTTTGACATTAACATATGGAATGACATCTTGAATATGCTGCCAGTGAGGTGAGTAATGATTATCACGGTTGATTTCTTGGAGTTTGACACCTGAACGAATATCATTATGAATGAATTGAATATTAATCGATTTTGTTTAAAAATAGTGAAAACACATGGCCTAAGTGCAAGCTTCGGCCAGCATTAAGAAAAAACTCTTCCACCAACAAGCCATGTTTTTTTTTTCACCTTAAAATTTGTATAATCTTACCATTTCTGTAATGACTAGTGTACAATCGTTTACCGGTCAAATGTGCATGCAGTTGACTAGCGAAAATGTTAATTCCTTCTCTGGGGAACTAAATAAGTATTTAAATTATTACAGAATATTCCAAAAAATATTTGCATACGCTCGCCGTGCATTCTTTCGGACAAACCCCAACAAGGGACCATTCGGATTGCCCTGGTGGAATAGCGCTAACATCCGAGTAAATTTGACCAAGCTCCATGATTCCAGCATCGTAGGGTCGCAAGTCTTCAGTAATCCAGAACTTCATTCCAGAGTTGTCGCGGTAGCCGAACAGCTTCTCGGGATTGTTATAGTGAATTTCCACCATGATGTAGACGAAATCAGTATCACGTCCGCCGACTGGCATTCCAACGTCGACAGGGTATTCGAACGACTGAAACCTCAAAACAATTTATATATTTCTATTTTTGCTAGTCACCCCTTCCCCCATAGCCCAAGCTCCAATAACATGAGAGCAAGATTTTGAATTTGGCGGTTTGCGCGGATCATTGCAATCACCAGACCATTCACGAACTCTATCGCGACATAGGAATACTTCCATATGATGGACAAGATGTTCATTGCCTTTTTCAACGTATGCTTCCATCTAAATTCATGGATTATGAGTGGAATAATAAAATAGTCATTATTACTTTCACAATATGATATTTAGTAAAGGTCTTGATGGGCATTTTCTTGATAATGCATTGATAGTGGGTCTCGATATCCGGAACCTTCAAAATGTTCGGCAGTAGATCAGGAAATTTTAGAATTTTACCAAAGTATATTCATCCGATTTGATAACAATTTCTTCAGCCATAAGCTGCGGACGAAGCGACATGATATCATGAACCTTGTCCATATCCAATTGATCGTCCGTCGCAAAATCAATAACCTTTCCAAATTTCCGGTCCTAAACATCTGAAATCAATGGACGCTGAAAACCATTGCACTCACGATATGCCATCTCTTGTCATTCAAACTTTTGATCTTATTCTTGTTCCAAGCAGCGGCAATAATGAATTGGGTAGTTCCAGACTGAACCAATTAGTTTTAATCAATTTGAATTGTTCAATTACCTCGAACGCGTAATCCAATGGATCGCACGTCACAAAATCTCGAATAATCGTTATTTCATTGTGATTGAGGCTTTGGAAATCAAATGGGGTGCCGGAGCGATGCCAATCCTGACTGATATCCCGCAAAATGTGATAGTTCTCGTCAATAGAAACGTCCTACAAGTCATTGGAATGCCGAAGTTCGGAAATGATACCACAAACCACACAATATTTTCGCTTGTAGTCGTTATGACAGAGGAACCCATCAATATTCGACATTTCGCCATGACTGCTGAAACCGATGAAGACGAGACTTGGTTGATTCTGCAATCCTTGACGTCATCCGATCAAGAAATTAGCTCCTTACGATTTCTCCAAAGATTACAGTGAACTCGACACTCTCATACTCCATTCTTGACGTCCATTTGAGAGTGATATTTCCGAATCCGAAATTGCCGACAACCTTGAAACTTTTATTTTTAGCATCGCCATTTTGTCGTGTAAATAATTCCGTAGCACGTCATTGTTTATTGGATTGCCTAGGGTTACCTGGTCCGTCAATGCGACGACAGATGCAGCGCCATAGCATAGTACGAATAATAAGGTTGCTAAGCGCATCCTGCAAATTATGGCAACTTATATGAGCGATGAGGACAGTAAGCCCAATTTTTATATATTCAAAATTATTGAAACTATTTCAGATGGCTTAAATCTCTATGAAGATTATGATTATGAGGATCCATATATTTATTCTCCTACAATTCCCGATTCGCCAGTTTTAGGTGTGGGTTTGAATGGCTTGTCGAAATAGCAATATGTAATTTTCAAGATAGATTTTCTACGTATTATGATCAATCAAGGAACGTGCCTTTTTATGGGGAAACTACGAACAAATCGGTCTATACATGGAAAGAGCCAACAAATCGACAAAGGTGAATACTGCATCTGACAGAAATTCAATTTCGTTCTTTTTTTTGCGATGTCACAACCATTTTCCAAAGAAATTTAATTAACTAGATTTTTAAATAAAGAAATTGTCAAAATGCACGTCTAGAAATATTTCAGAATATCGAAATCGGTAACCAGCGATGATTATGTGGAAGAGAAAGTGCCGTTCTACAGCGAGACGACGAATCGCTCTGAATTTGTCGCTTATGAGCCGACGAAGAGAAGGAAATTATCAACAGCAAAAACCAATTTAACGCCCACGTTAGTTTCAATATCATTGATTGGATTTAGTGTAATGAAAGCCAATATTCGAGCTGTCATCAATGTTTTTAATAAACATCTATTTTGCAGATTGCCCTTCTCAAAAGAGACAACATACACGCAGCACTATCCAACATTCGAAATTGGAAAGCGAGAAAAATCGGTGAGATTTGCTAAATGAATGCTGTATATTTTTGGTTTTTAGATGAACAACTGCCCAGCTGAGAAAATCATTCACACAACGGCAGCTTTATCGTAAGGGTTATTGTCTAGAAATTTCTGCAATTTTGCTTTATTTTAAAAGCAATTTAAAAAAATTGTTTCTATTCATTTATTTTTATTTCAGCAAAGCTCGACGTGAAAATGGACACTATTTCTTCAATTGTTCGAAACGATAAAAATCCATCACCACCATTTATTCAGAAAATAACATTGAAGATCACAAGAAAAACCATCTGAAACCTCGTCCTTTCCAAAAAAAAATACAAAATTAATTCTCAAATATAAATTAAAACAATAAAGAATTAAACTCTACAAAATGTTACTCATAAATCGAAATCAAGTACATGAGGAAAATTCCGGTCAACAAAGCGATGATTTCCTTGACAGTTTGAAAGAATGAGCTGTTCTCGAGGAGCTCTGGAATCACCGAAACAGTGGCGATGTAAATGAATCCTCCAGCGGTAAATGGAAGAACCCATGAGCTTCCGGCAGCGCTAGCAAGAGCATCCGGATCAGCGGCTAGAAGCGAGATGATGCATCCGGAAACTGCTCCGAGAGCCGTCACGAGTTGAATAAGCATTGCCTGAAAAAGTTAACTTATTTACACTGTTGCTAATTGTCAAAATTACTCTTGGTTTTGAGTATCCCGACTGAACAAGAATAGCGAAATCTCCAATCTCATGAGGGACCTCATGAACCAAGACGGTGATCATAGTAACTGCAAAATGCTAAATAATTAGATCCCTATTTTCGTTGTATTTACCGATTCCAATCGGTGTTCCGGCAATGAATGACGCTCCGATAGCAAGCCCATCAGTGAAGTTATGCGTAAAATCGGCGGCCAAGTTTAGGTACGCGGTAACACGAATGCTTCCTCCCTCTTCCTTCTTCTCAACCTTCTTTTCGTCTTTGTCTTTCTTCTTATCATCCTTCTTCTTCTCGTCATGAGAATGACCATGCGAGTGCGAGTGTCCATCCTCACCGCGAACGATTCTCACGAATTTCTCGACCGTCAAAAATGCAATGATTCCAGCAAGAACCCAACTGCCAACGCTCAAATCGTGAGCTCCATGGGAGTGACCATGTGATCCATGCGAATGCCCATGAGTATGTCCATGGGATTCTTCGCCACCAGCTGGAGTTGCATGTGGTATCAAGTGAAGGAAAGCGTCGCCAAGAAGTCCACCAGATCCAAAAGCAAGCAACACCTTCAACAACGGTCCAGATTCCGAGGTATTGGCCTGCAATTTAGAGTTTAATTATTTCTGCTTGAAAGTATTGTACCTGAATTGGAATAAATGCAAGGATGAAGCATGGAGCAGCAGAAATTAAAAGAGTAGCGCCGAGAGCATAAACCCAAAGCCTAGTGCGATTGTCGTTTAAGAATGAGAGGAATCCAGTATAATGAACTTCTTCATAAACTTGCTTTGCAGATTTGCTGAAAACGTATTTAAATTGAAAATTGGTGTAAGATAACTTACTGCGAATGTCCATGATCATGTGAGTGCCCATGGTCATGAGCATGACCGTGATCATGAGCATGACCGTGATCATGAGCATGACCATGATCATGAGTGTGTCCGTGATCGTGAGCATGTCCATGAGCTTCTTGCGCTGCTTTCCTGGCGGCCGCAGCTAAAAAGGGATGAATTTTTCAAACTACAGATTTCGAATATTACCTTTAGCATGTGGGCAACCTCCATCAGCATCATGAGCATGACCATGTCCTCCGTGATGATGAACATCCATTTTTTCAACAAACTCCGGATCATTCATCTCACGAGTATATTTCAAATGTGGTGCTTCATGCGAATGCTCATGTTGAGCATAAACAGCAAAAGCCAAAGCCGCAAGCGCAATTATAGGTTTCACACCCATATTTGAATTAATCTACCTGAAAACAATGAGAATGATATTGCCGACGATGAGTATTATACGAAAACAAACAACGTTTGACAGTTTGCTGACGTGGAAGCCTCAAATTTATTAATCAGATTGATGAAATAGGAAGTTAGGCAATTGAGACGGTGATTTATACAGATGAGAGGCAACTTAACGAATTGAACTGATAATGGGATAAATGATACTCAACAAGAGAATAACACGTATTCAAAGCGGCGGAACAACGCGATTGGACAAAAACGAATGCTGCGATAGAGCGCGTTTGCTCGCCAATATGAGGTCTGCTAAATCTCATATCGTAAGATTGGTATAAAGATGAAAGCGAAAAAATTTCGAAAGAAGAAAAATTGTGTTTAAAAAATATAGCAAAGACAATATAATCAAATTTAATAACAATTAATTTTTTTTATTGTCTATAACCGAAGAAAATTCAATTTCAGAGATGTTGATTTCAGACATTTGAATTTTATGAATAAATAAATTAGCGGAAAAAATTTTAACGTCTTTACTCGTTTCAAATAACTAATAGTTCATACTTTTAATTTTTACGTTTTTTGAGCATCTGAAAATTGGAATATTCATTCCCCCTTTTGAATAGTAATTTAATAGCTTTTGAATGTAAAAATGTATTCGCTCCAATTGGGCAATGCGAATTACAATCCTGAATACTCTTTAAATGCGGCCGCCAACTTTCTCTGTTTTACAACTTTTGTTGGCGTCGTTCGCAAAAGGAAATCTGCGTTCTTTACGGTATGCCAAGTACTATATGGTGTTGTAAAGAAGACATCATTTTTGGTATTTATTGTTTCTATCTGTATTCGTGTGTGCTGCCCTCCTGCGTTGTTCCACTTAAGTGAAAGCAACGCGTTAAACATCACACAAAAAACTTCTATAGAAATTAGTTCCAAAAATTTCAACGATGATTTTGTATAGTTTGCATAGTGTTTTGACAGATAATACCAAGCATCAGTATAATATAATAGAAGTAGACGTGAAAAAATTCTTCAACAAATATGCTGCGTTTTAAAACAAAAGCTATACGTCGTTTTATCAATGTGAAAAATTTTCCAACAAAATCGAAGAATTTCAACTTTTCATATGATAAGCCTATTATACCATATTATGTAATATAATGATGAAAATTCATGAATCGTAATAGATCATTGTTTAAATACTAGATCCCATTTTAAAGAGATCCGCCACTTCCCATCTCCCCACTTATTTTAATAATAATATTGTGGATATTATGAATACTTGTAAATGATTAATTAAATATGCAGTGTCCACCGAACTTGAAAAGTAAAATCGGAAACGATATAAATATTTGTTTATGTTCATTAAATTATTTGTATTGACTACTTATTGATTTTCTATAATGGCTAAAAGCTATTATATATATTATTTCCACATTATTTGCTTTTTTGGAAGTTTTTTATAATCTAACATAAGCCGAAAACAGAATTAATGAATTTGTAAGCAATGATAGGCTAGAAGTGCTTGAATTATATTGTATTATATAGTTTGATAATGTAGTTAATTTAGTGCGCCATAAATGAATTGTTAATCGAATAATTTTAAAAAACTCTAAAATTTAACTTGCTAACTACATATTTTCAATGAATTTCGAATTGTTTTACTTCAACAAGCACAGTTTTTCCAATGGCTAGATGTTGTAGGTGAAATAAGATAATATTCAGATTTTGTGAAAAAAAAATTTAAGCAAATTTGTAGATTCTGGAAAATAACACCTAACATGTTTATTCCCTCTAAATCTGCATAGTGCCATTAAATATTTTGTCCGATATGGATAACGCAGAAATTTTCTCATTCAAAACCACTTGAAAATTTTTTATCATGATCAATCAAATCATTCGCGAACATTGTAAACATGGTCGATGAACAGTAAAACCGATTTTGGTTTGACATTGTTGAAAGATAAGAGTTTTGGAAGTGATGTTCATTTTGCTATTTGAAATATATAATGATAATAATCATAAGGGAAACATTGTTGATCTTGTATTAAAACTAATCTAGTACAAATCGCAAGGAGGCACATTTCACACCTAATCTTATAATTACTGGTTTGCATTCCATGGGAACGTTCCCGCTACACTTCCAAATCCCCCTTCCTCCCCTCTCATTTTGTTGTTGTTGTTTCCCCTCGGCCTTTCTCTAAATGAGGCTGACCTGATCGTTCCACCAGTTTTTTTCCGCCGGTTCAGCCGTTTTTTTTTCTTGCCTGTCCCTTCTCTTCATCCATTCAGTTCGATTCACGTTGGTCATTTAATCGTGAGGATGATAACTCATTAAACATTGGATGGGGGTGACCGCGACCGTTGATTATTTGTGAACATGTCAAAATAGTTGCGTGAGGTCTTGCACACGATTTCTTGACAGCTGTCCTTTCTCCTACCGGTTCATTATGCTTCCTTTTAGTCAAGTACATACACCTCTCCTCCCACACCATTTTTGATTAGTCGCACCCTCACTTTTTTGAACACCTTCTACTTGAGTTTATTGGTTGGCCTCGAACCCGTCATTCTATAATTTTTTTTCACGATCATCAAGGGCCTTGAATAGTTTATAATGCTGCTTGTCTTGAGTGTCAATGTTTATAAAAGTTGTATGCGGCGAAGGGGGACCAGCGAAACGCGTCGGGGGTCCCACTACCGGCGTGTTCGCTGGCGGGTCATAGACAAAATACAATAGTGGAGAGGTGATGTGTTAGAATGCGCACCATCGCTTTTTTACTCTACCTTCGCATTTTCTTTGCGCGCCCCCAGAGTACCGTTCCAATGCGTTCTCACATACCAATTGAACACACATGGTGAGCGCATCTTTCATATCTCGCGCTGACTTTTCCGTTGCCCTCCACATGCATATATCATTTGGTGTATATCTTTTTGTCCCTTCTAGTTCGCCATAATCATCCATTACCATTCATATTCATTGTATTACGTTCGGTTTGTTCCCGATTTATCATTTTATGATCATCGCATTGGTAGATTTTTCTAATCTCGGGCAACCTAATTGAACGCTTGCTTGTAACCTTCAAATTCCGCACAGATCAATTGTAGATAATTTTTTTTCGGCTATGCGTGACTAGACCAAAACCGAAACGAATCGACTAGTTTTCTCCACCTAACTGCACATCCAATTAAATATATTCACGCGTGTTGCATTGCGCGCGTATTGTTCCATGTTCTTTTTCTTGTTTTTCATTAATTTGTATTCATCAAATTCCATTTATATCATACTATATGTATAAATTATAAATTGTATAAGTTAGAGATAAACAAACTAATTTCCTCTCTGTGAATAATAATGTTTATAATTTCCCAGCATTGGTGGGTCAACCAAATGAATCATTCAGCTGGTCGCTCTTATTCTATTTATAGGAGCTTGTTTCTTTTATCGCCATCTTGAGGGGAGAGCACTAGGGTTTTGAAAAAAAAGAATACAGTGACCGAGACCACCAACCTGACAAAAAAAAATTGGCTGCGTGAGGCTGAGAGCCGCAGCATTTTTCTATTTGCCCCGTTTCGAGTCGCCGTGCTTTTTTCCTCGCGTCTTGTCAACTGTATTATACACACGGTGCGGCTCGCGCAATTCGCACTTGTTTTTACTCACAACACTCGCAATGACCACCACTAGGCTACTTGACAGAAAAAAATGGAGTTGTCCACTCATTGGTGCGATCGGACCGGTTTCAGAAAACATTCTCGCTCCGCTTACTTTCTTTTCATATTCTTTTCAATATTTTCACTTAAGCCCACGTTTCTCCCATGTAATCCCGTGGGTGTAGATTGACCCAGTCGATTGGGTGGGGGGAGGATAGGAAGCAATCATCGTTTCGTCAGCCCAGTCAACCATCACGAAGACGACGACGTGTGTGTTTGAAAATGTCCTCCTCCTCCCCCCAGAAGATGTCCTTCAACCCTAATTCGTTTGTGCACTGTCCCTCAACCCCCAGCCATGACCATCAAATCCAGTCTGTCGGAGGGGGGAGGAGAGTAGACGACGCCACTGAGTTTTTTGATCAGCTGATAACAACATTCACGCATCGATTCTGGCGCCAGTTTTCAACAGATGTTGTGTCGTCGTGGGTTCGCACTCGTCTTTTCTAATTATCGAACATATTTCGCTGAATTTTTTCCATTTCTGTTATGTCCTTCTTTAAATTTATTACGCAACAGAGTCATGAATTGATCGTTATTACGATTAAATTGCTAGCCGACTAGTTCGAAGGCGTTGGTGTTATTGAAAAAAATCAGAATTACCATCCATTCAGTATTGCCGATTTTCTCTATCAGGTTCCTGAAAGCAGGTGTCAAACTTTATACATACTATCATAATTGCTAAATTTCTGAATAAGAATTGAGCGAATAGAAAGTCAATATTTACAATTAAAATATCTTGACGCTAGTAGGATCAAGCATAATGCCAAATTTCATACATGTCTAGAGGACAATGATGAAAAACCTGCTTAGTTTTACAATAAACCTTCTTGTTTCGAGTAGGCATATTATGTTCAAAGAGTTTTTGGCCTCCGATCAACACATTTGATCTTCGTCGAGTTTGCCGCGCTCTCCATGTTTTGCCGCCTCTCGCCATTGGACTCATTCCATCAATGTGATAAATACGTTGGCTCTTCATCGCAATCATCATTATTGACCTCAATTTAAGTAGTGTGCTCATCGCAAAAATTCCAAAACGCCCCAGTCCTCGTCGTTCCTCGGTCCGCAGTTTGCGCGAGCGAGTGCGCGCGCGCACACACCACTCCATGTTTATTCGTCGTCCGCGCTCCGCCCGCGCCGTCGCCGCGCGCACCCTCATCATCTAGACCGAAATCCTTACCCTCCGTCTCGTTTCCCTTTGACTTCCCATTCTCATTTTCCTGTCGACTGGATCACTTCTTCTGCACCAGCTTCTCCATCCCCTATTGTATTCATCATGTTTATTACCCCAAATTACTGTTACCCTCCTGGATACCTGTCCGCCGCTGCCGACGCCTCCTTCCGCCCACTACTCCTCTCACTTTTGTTCATTTCCTGCAAAACATTGACTACTTAAACAAAAAAATCACAAGGTGATTGGAAGTGTCGATTGCACGAACCTGTCATGATATCATTAATGTGTTTCTTGAAATCTGTTTGCTTTGATATTCTGCAAAAACCGATTCGATATCTATTTTGATTTGTTCTCTTTGATTTTCTCGTTCGTTGATAATTGTCAACACTAGCCGATGACCGTTTTTTTTTTGTTATTTCGATTATTTCTTTTTTGCAGGATTTGTTCGAAAGCCTGTGAGTTAGTGGAACGTAAGGACGAGGCATAGGTCATCATGACTAACCTGTGCCGCATATTGTCTTTGTTTGGTATGCTGGAAAAAACATGTCTGAAATGAAATTGTCAGCAATTCAATATTCAGGTGTTTTTTTGGCAGTTTACGGTCAAAACATCGAAGATGATGTTCATCACTTTACGAATCCAGCGCATGGCAACGCTGTCTGGATAATCGACGATTCAAGTTTACCATGGAAGGGTGGATACAAATTTCTGAGGTTTGTTTTGATTTAGCTACGTCCTGTCGTGCTCGATTCTGTTTGATTAATATGAATTCACGCCCGCTAGCGAGCAATTTCCTTGCATTTGTGACCAGAGCAGGAAATGAGCCGGAAATCTGGTGTAAGGTAAAACTACCACTAGGTGGCCACAAAAGGGAGAAGTGAGACAAGGGTGTCGGAAAATCGCCGAGCAGGTTTTTCAAGATCACTGTCAATAGTTGGAAGTTTCAGGTCGCTAACTGGTGCTCCCACCACACTGTTATCCGTTGTTGACAGTTCGACGGGGGTCACTCTCGGACAGTGTATCGCGCCGCAAGGTAGCACCAAATAATAATGACATATCAGGGCACATTTGAGTTTTTTTAGACTTTAACGAGAATCACACTAAGAAGTGGGAAGACTTCCAATGGAAGCTCACATTGGCACACCTTGAATGCACATTTGGTGGTTCCAATTCGACTCTCATCCCATTCAACAATGGTGCTGGAACGCCAAGAACATATTCTGTTCGAATTCAAGCAGGTGAGTATTCATCCGCGCCGAAAACACGCGTTGTTTGCGTATCGTTTTCAAATAGTGCTTGTAGAAACATTCAATGTTTGTTAAAGCAATACAACAACAAAAAATTTCAGCCACCGGCCCGTCTTGCCTTCGAGACCTCACCGTACAAGACGAGCAGCCAACGGGATGTCCGCCACATCTAACGCGTAACTCATTCAGCGCCAACGCATTCAATTGCTCATGCCCATATTTGAGTTCTGCCATGGAAGACGGCGAATCTGGTATGTTTATTGGATGGATAGTTTTTGTTGACATTTTGCAATAGCAAAAAAACGCGAAAAAAATCACGTGGAAATAAGTTGCGGATAATCTCCCCTCTCATTTGTGCGATCATGTTCGTTTGCATAACAAAGAATTGAAGAAGCGGGTGCGCTCAGATTGCCGATTGAATGGAAAATATGTTTGCATGTTGAACGCATGTTATTTCGTAAATAAACATATTGTTCAATCTTTCGCCGGCGTTTTTGAAGCGCTCCGGGACCTCGCGCACACACTCACTTTTTTTGCACTCGAGCATCCACTCGACAAGAACGTTTTTGGTTGTAAAAACAGACAGTGTGGATATAAGCGTCCGGTTCATGACCCGGTTCGCGTTGCGAGAAGCTAGTTCATGCAATAAGAAATGATCGAAGCTGATGATGAATATACACTGAAGTAAAATTAATAATGAAGCAACACGAAACAAATAATAAAAAAGACAATGAGAATTACATCATTTTTACAGAGACCGAAGACATCGACATGCTTGCCAATTCACCACAATTCCCACTTTTCAAGGTCAGTTTTTCATCATAATAACGTCAGTTGGGTAATTGAAAGAGAACAGTACGAGGAAGAACAAAAAAACACACGCACACTTAAGAAGAAAGAACAATTCGCAATTATTGAAGTCGTCATTTCAGGGAATCGAACAGGGTAGCGGGGTCACGAAACCATGGACACTTTCACCTTCGCCATGTGCTCAACACGAGTGCTTGAACAATGGAACTTGTTTGGTTTCTCAAGAGGGAACTGTAGGGAACATTTTGATATTGATTCGATTTCGGATTATTTCTTTCAGGCTACTTGCCTTTGTCGCAATGGATTCACCGGTAATCAATGTGAGCTCGACGTGTGCTCCTCAGTGCCATGCCAGAATGGCGGCGTTTGCCGATCAAATGCTGGAATTGCTTACTGTGATTGCGCACCTAATTTTACCGGTTTACTCTGTGAATCGGTTCGTTTGACACGCCAAATTCCAAATTATAACATTTTTTTTTGCTCTTGAAGGGTCTCGAGGAAGGTGTGAGGCCAACATGCAATCCAGAATGCTCGAATGGCGAATGCGTTGAGAAAAACGGAATTGCTCAATGCGAATGCCGTCAAGGATTTACAGGATCCAACTGCAACGTCTTGGATGTTTGTTTAGGGTGAGCTATTTGCAGTGTTACAAATTTTTTGTTGGTAACCGTTCGAAGCTATTAACGAAATTGACCTCTAGTTTGTGCGCACGCGTGAGCGAGGGTGCGCGGCGACAAACGCCGCTTCCGTCCGCAAATATAAATATCAAAACTGTCAAACGGGTCTAGCGCGTTGATGCGTGATATATCAATTGAAGTGATATATATTTTTTTTAAGTCTCCCGAAATGCATATAAATCTTTACGCGCCACGCGATGAACGACGCACGCGAGTGCCCAACCGTGATTGGATATTGACATTTGAATTCCACCCGGCCAGAAAAATAGTTTCAATGCTTCATGAGATGGCGGGTTATATTGTCGACGAAATCAAGTCCTGGTGATTAAGAATAAATTGATTACCTCCAATTAATTTAATGAGAAATGTATTGTTGCGTCTCCCAAAAAAAAAGGAACCAGACGCGGTGATTGAGAAGTAATGATCAAATGATAGCGAAAAAAAGCTGCGTTGATAGAAGTCAATTAGATGATTTCAAAAAGCTTAATCCCTCTTAAATTTTTAAACAGGGATTATGTTAAGCGCATGCGAATTTCTGGAAAGTGGAAGCTGAAATTCTTGAATAAAATTTTAATTATCAGATAATTCCATAATTGTATGTGGATTAAACCCCCCAACTTGAACATAAGACACTGTTTCTATTGACATTCTCCATTGTCTGCCTTGGGTTTAGCTTGTAGTTCAACTCGGTTTTTTTTCACTCCTCGTTGTTCCACAAGAAGTTCTAAACTGGACACAAAAGCTTGCGTATAAATAAATTCACAAAGAATTTGCGCGCGGGCGCCCACCATCTTCTCCTACTCTCTTTCTTTCCCAATTTGAGTGACCTGAGACGTGTCATTATCTTTCAAGCTCCCCCGGGGGAAGGGAGGAGGCGCGCTGCTCATATGACGAGAAGCAGATTTTCGAGAGATTATCGGTGTTGTCGGAAACCGAGAGAAAACAAATTGTACATTTTGTGGTTGTGTAAAGAATCGCTGGCGCCCCTCCACCGGCAGCACACGAGTCGTATGGTCACTTTTTGTTTGCTCGCCATTTTGAAACTCGGACGGGAGCGAGATTTTGCTTCATGAAGCACCTCCCCCCATCCACTGATTTTTGCTGGCGACACGCATGTCGTCCTTGAGTCGATTAGCGCGCTCAATAATATCGTGCATGGGGGGTCGCAGTTGGTGAGAGGGAAGGTCATGGGATTAATTCGAATCAATTAGTTAATCTTCCAATGTCGCCATCATAATCTGCGAAAAACGGTTTGGTCGTGAGCATTGGATAAGAAAAAGAGAAGAGTGGCAAAAACAATAGGAATGAGGAAGGGAATTATCGGATTAGGTGTGATTCTCGTGCAATCAAGTTTTGACCGTTCATCAAATAATAATGCATTATTTTTTCCAGGGATGCTGCGTGCTCCATGTTTGGACCAAATGCGAAATGCGTTCTTGACGATAATATGGATAACTTCACTAGCACTATCTTGATTAATGGAACGTATGATTGCTACTGCCCACATCCAATCAACGGACGTACGCTTTTCAGTATTTTCAGACTAGAAATATCGAATTTCATTTTTCAGAATTTGTGGATTGCATGCAACTGCATGCTCCAACTACCGGTGTGCCAACATCCGGAGCACCAGCGACGTTCCCAGTATTGGAAATGTCCAAAATCCCTATTGCTTCTTCAACGTCGACTCCTATCATGGCTCCGGTATCGACAAATGTGCAAACTGAGCCAGTGCAAACTTCTCGAGTTACGGTCACCAGAGAGCCAATGAGACCGATTGAGATTACAATGTCCACGACGCTGCCGCCTCCATTCAGTCAACACATTATTACAGCGGTATGAATTTCAAATTTCAAAGTTTGACGACAATGTTTGAATTTAGGGTAATGTTCAAACGGTTCCAACCACTAGTCAGACGCAAACAACGGAAACATTTGCCACCGCGGTACCCATTAAGATATTAAACGATTATCTGAAGCTTAAGCTTTTCAGGAGACCAGCTTTGCTACACAATCCCCAACAACATTCATTTTCCCGAACACCCCTGAAACAACGGCAATTCCATCGTCAAACTCTCCACAAACCAAATTTGTGCAACCAATGGTTCCTGACAATGAGGATCATCGCGAGGAAGAAGAAGAGGAGGAAGAGGAGGAAGACACTGAAGAGCAATTCCCAACTCCAAGCACAATGAACATGATTCCAGTGAACTTCATGACAACCACTGCTCAAACAACAATGTCATCAACCACGGTAAATATTCAAAATATACAAATCAAATAAATATTCGATTAATATTTGCAGGTTGCTCTAGAGACGACCACCACCGAAGAGGAGGATGAAGAAGAGGTGGAGGAAACCGAAACAACCAACAACGGTGACATGACGACCGAAGTAACCGATGAGCCGACCGAAGCAACGACGACGACAATGGAGGATACAACAACTGAAGAGTTTGAGGATGAGTCCGAGGAGAGCCAAACGTCAACAACCGCCCAGACCGGGTTGCCATTCTGGATGACGTCGAGCACGACGAGTGAAATTCAAGAGGTCACCACAATGACCCCTGTTGTACAGCCAGAGGTGACAACCACGGAAGAGAGCAAGGAAGCACAACCCGAAGAGCCGACAGGTAGTCAAAAAATTGTATTTAGAAAAAAAATGACGATGACTGTAATGTTCAGACGGCAACGCTGTGTTGATGCCAAAGAACACTGTGCAAGTGACAACACCCGATGGCGTGATTCATCAACATTCGTCGAACGGAAAACAGTCGAGCGCAGCGGCGAGCTGGATCATCGCGATAATTGCCCTGATCGGTAGAGGCGGCAGCAATTTGAAGCGATAAGCCTAATTTGATTCATTATTGCAGTGCTTGGTCTGTTGTTGCTCGCCACTAGCTTGTTCATCCTTCGCTACATTCGACAATCGCGTAAGCTTCATGGCAAGTACAATCCGGCTCGTGAGGAACACAACCTCTCGGCAGCCTATGCCATGCCGATGTCCCATATCGCCAAAGAGGAAAGACTTATTTAAATTGTCACATTATCATTTCTCGATATTATTTATTGCAAATCTTGACCATTTCAAGTCCACAACCAAAACAACTTTCGAAGTATTTTGATCGATATGTTCACTATTCGTCATCATAATATTCCCAAACTTGCTCATAATTGTCTCTCTTTTTCCTGTTCTTTTCCTTCCCAATTTTTTTGGTGAGGACGGAATTTGTTTTTGCTTCTTCTTCTTCAAAATTCACTTTTTTTTCCTTGTTTTCTTCTTGTTTCATTCAATCATTCACACATTTTCTTGATGTACTGTTCTCTTATCGAATTGAGACCAGTGTGCATATTCAACGGGTTTCACAGAGTTTTCCTATATTACAATTGTTTTAAACAGATTTTTATACTAAATTAAGTGTTAGACGTGTACTTGCATTTTCAACATTACACTTTACTTTTTTCTTCTTTATTATCATCATTTAAACAACTATACAATACTTCTTCTCGTACCTAAATGGCTCTGTGTCATTTTTTCGTGAAATTTTTTTTATATTTGAAAATTTTTATCTAAATCTAATATTTGGTCTGACCCATTTTGTAAGTTTATTCTTGTGATGTTCTCCATAGTATTTTTTCTTTTGTCTTCGAGAAGAGTTCTTTTTTTCAAATCTGATTGTTTGAACATATTATTCATAATAAATATTAATAGTGATGATAGCTCATGTGATTCAAATTAATTAATTGAATCAGTGCGTTCTTCATACTCGCCAAACATTGAATTTTCAGCAAAATAGATTATTCTGTTAGACTGATTCGCGTGAGTTTTATTTATTTTTTTTTTTGAGAGTGACCTTAAAAATGGTGAGAACAAAGAGCTTCTTTCACCAGACGAAATTCTAAATTGCCTTCAAGCAAAACAAGTTTGAGGATTGAACCTTTTTGTAGGTTTGATGGTTAGTTCGATCTGGTGCATTTCAAATCCTCCCATAGTTATTCTAATTATAGTAATCGCTTCAATATTTTCCCAGTAGTATCCATCAATTAAGTATTCGTAGTTGTTCTAACTGATAAGCTAATAACAGCAACATGACTGCTTCATTCATGATTGTGGTTCTTTGGTTAACTAGAAAATCATTTGATATTAAATATATATGATGCTTGGCAAACTTTCAAAAAAAAGGTTATTTGTCGTTTCATACGGCTCGCCAAGCTTATTTCGTTGAAAGCATCAATTATCAAGCTAATTTCAATAGCGTCGAGCATTACTCGGGCATAAAAAATAATATTTTTTTTTGTAATTCCCATGATCTCACTACGTCACCATAAATGGGCGGAGCATAGTATGTAGGTAGCGGATGAGAAAAAGAGTTGTGTATAAAAATACTGATACAATCATTGTTTCTGTTGTAAGTCGGAAAACTCGAATTACAATTTAACTTTATCTAATGTAAGCGTTAGACAACAATAACGAACGAAGCGCAATTTAATTAGTTAACGGATAATAATAACAATAATGGCTAGTCGGGGGAATGGATAGTATGTGAATACAAATAATAATGAAGCAGCACGGTAGGAAAATATAAACAACAGCGAAAACCAATCAAGTAACTCGGGTCCGGGCCTAAAACAATCCAACAACTCAACTTCGTGTATTTGCGCGCCAACTCTGGTGTGTGTGTAAACACCGTGATATTCACCGTAACCGCAGGATTTAAATTGCTAATATCTTTCTTCATATTTTCTTGCTCCTCGCAACATCTCCCCCGACAAAAGAAATTGGGGCATCCTTGCTTGGTGTTGGCGTTGATGACGTCGATGATATGACGATATAGCGACTGTGCACAATGACCGTTGACTGGTTGCTGACTGATAACTATGGCTGCTGACTGATATAAGTTGGGTCTTCATTGTGGACTGGGATCAAATCGTACGATGGGTTTCCGAACTCTTGCACTGCGTCGTAACCTGACTTCTGGAGCGTCCTGGTTCCGCTTTAGAATGCTTGCGGGTACGTCCTTGGCACGATCCTCAGGGCCTGCCTGGGTGTTCGGTTCAATCTTGGGTTTAACACACACCGTACGCTGGCTACCTAGCGCGTCACATACATTTGACATAGATCTACTATCCTCAGGGGGACCTATACAAGGGGAAATATTTTGTCTCTGACCTTTTGTACGTGTTGATCCTGCTGACTCCTTTGCGATTGCTACTGGTATTTGACTGTGACGATGTTTTGAACATGAGGGTTGACTTTGTCCATGGCAAGACTTCTGGTTGGAATGTTCGTTTGACTTTGGCTTGTCCGGTGGCGAATGGGTATTGTCGTTGTCACTGCTTGAACTCGACTGATTGGTGCACAGATCATTCACTGGATTTCCTGAAATTATCTCATGTGATACGGGTAACATGAAAATATCAGTCATTGTCTCAAACCACCTCTCTTCTGGACTCTTTACCAATCTATTTGGTCTCATTTGATTGGCGTGGAACTTTTTTATGTGTCCTTCATGATCCACCATGTAGATCACTGGTCCCACCACCTTCGTCACTATACCTTCTTCCCAAGTCCATCGATTTCGACGATAGATTTTTACGAAAACTCGATCATTTACCTGGAAGTGTTTCTCTTTAACCCCCCTCCCGTCAAAATGTTCCTTCATGATCCTTTGTTTGTCCGACAAGTTTTGTTGGGACTTTCCTTGATCATTCCCTGGTAACATTAGTGAGAGCTTAGTCTTTAATTTCCGACCTAAATGTAATTCTGCTGGTGAGATACCTCCAATTGAATCCATCGGTGTTGAGCGATAGTATAATAGAAATTTGTCCAGTGTTTCCTGTGATGTGATCCCTTCACCCTTCAACTTCCTGAGTCCGCGTTTGAGGGTATCCACAAATCTTTCTGCCAAGCCATTACTTTGTGGATGATACGTTGGTGTCTTGATATGTTCTATGCCATTCTCCAGGCACATTCGTGTAAATAATTCTGAAACAAACTGGGTTCTATTGTCTGATACTATTGTATCTGGCAATCCATTTCTAGCAAACATTTGTTTCAACAATGCGACTGTTGTGGAAGCTGCAATCGATTTTGTGATCGATACCTCAGGCCATTTAGACAATGCATCTACTGCTACGAGATACCAAACTCCATTTTCTGGTCCCGCAAAATCGATGTGGATGCGGCTCCACGCTCGATTCGGCTTTGGCCATGGTTCCAACGGAACTTTCACCGACGTCTTCTGGTTTTCTTGGCATTTCCGACATCTGTTTACCGTTTCGGTGCATGCTTCATCGATCTTTGGCCAATATACGCATGTACGGGCTAATTGCTTCATCCTCTCGATACCTGGATGATTCTCATGAAGTTGCTTCAATACCTGGTTTCGCAATAATTCTGGGATGACAACTCTATGTTTCCATAACACACATCCTTCAGTGACTGCGATATCATCTTTCCTCGTGATAAACGGTCTTATCGTTTCATCGACTTGATTACTTCTTGGCCAATTATTCGATTTCCAGTATTTGATGACGGTTTTCAACACCTTATCCGTAGCTGTCGCTTCCTGAATATCGGACACTGTTAATGGTAATTTTCTTACCCCTTCAGCCAAATAATCCACATTTAACACCTTGACTTCGGCGATTACGATGTCTTCGTCCTGAATTTGTGCTTTCTGCATCATCCTGGATAGTCCATCCGCTTGACCGAACCTGTCGGTTTTTACATATTCAATAGAAAAATCATACCCCATCAACATCGTTGCCCATCGAACCAATCTGTTTTGTGAGTAAATCGGCAAATCCCGCTTTTCTCCAAATATGGCCAGCAACGGTTTGTGATCTGTCCTTAAAATGAATTTTCTACCAAAAATATACCTGTGGAATCGTTTGATTGCAAAAACTAAGCCAAGTGCTTCCTTTTCGATTTGAGCGTAATTCTTTTCGGCTCCTGCTAGTGATCTGGCAGCATGCGCAATCGGTTTCTCCGATCCATCTGGCATCCTGTGTGAGATCACTCCACCAATTCCATATTCTGACGCATCGGCCGCCACAATGATTGGTAGTTGTGGATCGAAGTGGGTGAGATTTAAATCTGATCCTAAAATATCCTTTAGTTCATCAAACTTACTCTGTTCCACATCGGTCCATTTCCAAGGAGTGTCTTTCTGTAAAAGACGATCCAGTGGACCTCTCAATTCTTTCATCTTTGGGATGAAGGCACTATAGTATGTGATCATTCCCATGAATGATTGTAACTTCTTTTTGTTGTCGGGCGGTAGCATTTCTCGAATGACTTTTGTTTTTGCTGGGTTTGGCCGTCTGCCGTCGCTATCTAATAGAAATCCCAGGAATTCTATCTGTGGTTTTCCGAATGTGCACTTTTCCATTCTTACTCGAAATCCATACTCCTGGATTCGTTGGAACAATTCTGTTAGATTTTTACTGTGCTCTTCTTCGGTTTTTCCGACGATGATTACATCATCAAGATACGCCGCTACTCCATTTAGACCTGTGATCATTTTGTCGACCACTTGCTGAAAAATTGCTGGGGCCGTTTTCACTCCGAATGGCAGTCTGTTGTATTTGAAAAGACCCAGGTGTGTATTTATTACACACAATTTCTTCGACTCCTCATCCAATTCGATCTGTAAATACGCATCTGCCAGATCGATTTGGGAAAAGATCCTTCCACCATTCAGACGTGTGAAAATGTCTTGTGGAGTGGGTAGCGGGTGCTTATCTTCTTCAAGATTATTATTTAATCCTGTTTTGAAATCGGCGCACATTCGAGTTTTACCGTTGGCCTTTTTAATAATAACCGTCGGTGCGGCCCATTGACTGTGTGCGATTTTCTCAATGACTCCCAATCCGACGAGTCTTTCGATTTCTGTAGTAGCGGCTTCTAGCGAACCATAGGGGACCGGTCTGGCCTTCTTGAACACCGGGGTTACCCCTTCTTTCACTTCCAGGTGGGCCTTCTCCTTGACACAAGTTCCCAGCTCTTCCTGGAACACGGTTGGGAATCTTGTT